CGCCTGCCCTCGTACCCGCCCGCCCACGCCCGCCCAACCCATATTCGCCCTCGATCTCGCAATGACTCGCTTGTGTCGCTTTCCTACTTCTTGCTATCCACGCAATACCTACGCATCTACTTTGAATACGGCCTTGCTCTCATCTCAGCAATAGAATATCCGCTGTTCGATTTACCACTGCATGTGCACACTTGACTGGACACATAATTTACCAAATACGATTGTTTGACGAATTATGAAGTGCTCTTAATTGAGCATCGATACTCGAGTGACATGCGCCGAAGACGCCGCGGAATGAGGAAAATTGTTTCAAGTCGTGCTCGAAGATTGCAGCTCGTTGGCCGCCGAGCCAGCTGATGCTGGCTGATGATGCGAGATTATTGCCGTTTTCGAGTCAATTGGCGGAGACGCGCCGCGACGCGATTTTCCCGCGCGTCGTGAACCTTCCGACCTGCATCTTCCGCGGGGCGCTGCACCCGTGCACCCTCACCGATCTTCTTGATTCAAAGTGTCACGTAGAGGTATAGAGCGGGGCCAGGGCGCCCCAGCAAAAATGAAAAGATTTGACCGAGTTTGCGAGTAGCTGCTGATTGGCTGGTGTGAATTGGTCTGCGAGCGATAGAGCGACAAGGACGCCGCGTTCGTACGGATTTGAGTGTTCAGTAGAGTCTTATGAGGATAGGTGAGGGTGCCCCATGTGTGATATGGTGTGGGAATGCATAGGGAATAAGTAAAGGGGCAATGCCGGATACCAGCAGTTCATCGACGAAAGGCTTACATGAATACTCTATACAGGCGTCTTTAAGGTTTCAGACCGTAGGATCTCACGCAGTGCTTGCATACACATACAATCCGCAGCATGACGAGGATGGATCGGCCTCAGATGAGCCTGTGGAGGGCGAGGTAGTCTGAAAATGTCATCTGGCTTGTAAGAGTTTGATCAACGGATCGGAGCTCGTTTTCGTATCATGAGCGATGGGGAACAACTTAACATGTCGAGATATATGTATTCCACTCTATTTGGACAGTCTACTAGTGGAGGTTGGTACAATATCAGTTAAAATGTGTAACATTTCATCAAAACCAGTCCACTGCTCGATACTGCCTGTTCTGCATATTGGTACATTCGCTTACCCATGGGGCGCCCTCGAGTATGTTCATGAGACTCTACTGAGCACTCAAATCCGTACGAACGCGGCGTCCTTGTCGCTCTATCGCTCGCAGNCGGGAAAATCGCGTCGCGGCGCGTCTCCGCCAATTGACTCGAAAACGGCAATAATCGCGTATCCGGTCACATCCTGCCGCATCCTGCCACATCCGAACTCCCATCACGCAATCAGTGTTTTCCTGCCAAATCCGGTGGCATCCTGGGCCTTTCTCACTGGGACTGAATGACGACCTTCTCCGCGACATCTTCGACTGCGTAGCTTTTCTGGAGCCCTACGAACGACACCCCTACAATGATAGACTCTTGCATGGAATTGGTTGGATACGTCTTGGCCATGTCTGCCGTAGATGGCGTCTGCTACTTCTGCAAATGCCGACTCTGTGGGGCCGTATCGCGCTCGTGAGCGCTGGGCCTCCTCCACGTGCATTTCGCACTTTGCTAAGGCGATCGCAAAGCGCTCTTCTAGATGTCGAGCTCTCACTCCGCGGAGACCACTATTACGACGTATCCCATGAGGGGTATCGCAAACTCATCATGGGAGCCGCGAAAGTCTTTGTGCACCGACTCAGGTCCCTGTCGACCATCGGGGTAGAGTTCCCCCTGGACGATATCGTCTACTTCTTTCAACGAAGTCCACTCCCGGAGCTTCAGAGACTTCATATCGTGCATACCAGCGAAGCGAAGCCGGGATCTCTCGAGAATGATGTCGTTTTGGACGCCCGCAATCTCGTCGACGCGTCTTTCATGTTGTTCGCATACGGCTTACCTATGGGCTCGCACCTGAAGAAAGGCCTCCGAATCAACGCCCCCAACCTCAGAAGTCTCGTCGTCAAATGGAGCTACATGACGAACGCGGAAACAACCCTGCAGGATATCCAATGGATTGTCGACGTCATACGCAACGCTCCTCTGCTTGAGCGCCTGCACCTCAATCTCAGCGTGTGGCACTTCGCAGTCGATTGGGATCACCTGTTTGGCAACAAAGATTGTCATCTCCCTCAGCTGAAAACCTTGATCATCACTCAACGAAGCTTGGATATGCGCGCCGGTGATCTTATCGCCCGGATCTGTACGGCCCCTCCGCCTTCATTCACATTCACCGCACGATACATTGTCAAACCGGAATTTCAAGCACTCATGGATGTCTTGGATTCATACCTTCATCCTTGTGCGACGCACAGTACGATGTATATTCGTTTCCGGCACCCGGCATGGGTGATGTTTCATTCACTCCCCCGCCCGGAGGACGCGCGTGAACTCTCGGAGGAGAAGCTGTTCCACAGACGCGCCGAGGACGCCCTTGCCAAGTTGGAACGCCAGACGACGTTGTCATTATCAACACGCTCGAACCTCGTCTTGGCCGAAGAGCTACTCCCCGACCTTGCGCTGCGATTGAGGTTCGATCACATCACTCATTTACGCATCAACGGAAGCGTGAACCCCTCAGGCTGGTGGCGTACCTTCCGTGAAATGGTGGCACCACGTATGGTGTCTGTTCACATTTTGATAATTGACAATCTGTCATGGCTGGCACCCAAAGCTGGCGAGATGAATGCGCTCAGTATCCTCGACCCTAGGTCTCGTGATGATTCAACGAACTTTGGCTTTCCCCTACCGGTCTTGCGCACGCTCATCGCGACGGCTTGGGTTGCCAGTAAGAAGGGCCGTCAAAGAATGTGGACAACATATCTTGGCGTCCTTCTCGAGGAACGCGAGATCAGGGGAAAGCCGGTACACACAGTACGGCTACGCGGCGGATGGTTGACGTCGGAGTTGAAGGCTTTCTGGCGGTCCTACGATGTACCGGTGGCTGATCTTATCCAAGCTGTGATAGTGGACGAAGTTGTAGACGAGCGTGAAGTATTCGAAAGCTCCTAGAGATACATGCCATATACGGATACACTACCTGATCTGGCTGATTCTACATTCCGGAGTCAGGTCTTGAGCCTCCGGCATTTCATCTTATGATTCCCCTCCTTCCAGTCTCTGCTCATAAGTGGATGAGTTCACTCATATGCGAAGAAGAATATGATCGAACGCACTTGCGCTGGCATTCTCGTGAACAGTAACGCGCCGCGCCGCACCCTTTGCATACGGGAAGCGCTTCCTTTGCACATTCGCGGTAGTACGCGCACGCGCGCCAAGAGCACAGACGCGTCCTCGACGCTTCGAATTGTACCCTTTCCGTCATCTCGTCAAGGCCGAGGGTGTTTCCCAGATCGACCCAGCATTGAATGTAGCGGCCAGTTCGTTCTTTCGACTCTCGTCCCATTGTGTCCTGCATGAGCCGCATAGCCTGCAAGGTGGGGTACCAAGCTTTTTCAGAGGATAAGCGCAGCTGCAACACCAGCCGCTCCACGTCAGGGTTGACATCGTGCCCATTCGAGCTCTCGCGTATGACCTCGCACCAACGGGTGGTTACAGTACACAAAGATGAGCAGAGCTCGTCCAGCGTTTCGACTATGGTATAAGGTGTGAGCGTAGAACATTCAGAAGATGAAAGATGGAGCTCAACCTTGTGTTTCATCGCCTTCGAACACTGTGGGAAGACCGCTGACGCCGACAACGCAAAAGTTACTGAACATTATTCCTAGGTGGGAACCGTAGATTTCTGTGCAGAAGCCCCGCGCTACGCCCTCGCCCACGACGCTGGAGTATAGAAGTCCGATAGGTCATTGATCACTGTTGCAGTCGAATGGTCGCTTACCCTAGCAGGTCGCAGCAATGCTTGCACCAAGCTAGAAAATGTCGTGCGCCTTGATGAGCCATAGTTTGACGATATGCACGCATGCATACAGCGTGCAATGCGGCCGTCATCGGTTGCTCCCAGAATGCTTCCCGAAGCTGCGTGTGGTGGGCCAAACCCGTAGACAACAGAAGGGAGAGCTCTTTCAAGTGGGATATGAGGATCTTGTCGACCAGCCATAGGCCACTCTCCTCGAGGATGATCCGGAACGCCTCTATGATCTTGGGCGGACCTATGCGAGCGATAGCTTTGTCCACCTTCTCGTTCCAGTATACTTGCATTGCGTCGCCACCAGGACCCTCGGCAAGAGTCGTAGCGACTTCCTCGATGGAGGCCCTGTACTCGTCCATTCGCAGAGGAATCTCGTGGAGCGACTCCGAATGTCCGGGTCCGCCGCACAGATTGGAGTGAGTCCATGTGAAGAGCATCACGGGGATGAATTCGACGTCGAGAAGAACTCGCATCTTATCTTCCGTATTCGCAATCCTGTTCCTAGGATAGGCATTGACACAGTCAGTGTTAGACATCCGAAGTGTGTTAAGCAACCTCACCGGTATAAACCGCACAAGCCAAGCATATCTCCTGTCATGCTCGCCAGCAAGGCAAGAACATGAGCAGGGGTTCCAAGGATCGCACCGACAGTGGGGTCGAGTAAGTCATCGATGTGATCCCACAGGTTCTGCCATGCGGGGCGAAGTACAGAGAACATGTGCTCGAGTTGTCCTTGCTCCGGTAGCACGGGTTTTATCTCCGGGGGGCGATATTGAGGGTCTGAGTCCTCATATAGCCACCATGGCTCCAATATACCATTCAAACACAGCAAAACGCTCGCGACCCAAAACTAGTGCGTGTCGCAGTTGAGCGTATCGTCGGTAATACACAAAAGATAGAGCTTACTTCAGGTCCAGACGTGAAAAAAGGGTCCCCGATTATCTCAAGGAGAAGTATCAGCAGCTCGCTTGATATGCATGCCCGCCATAGCTCGCCGCTAAAGAGGGTCCCGTCCTTGGCCGGAGCGCACAACCTGTGTGCTACCGCCTGGATGCAAGAGACTAGCTCTTCGTCCGGTGTAGAGGACCGCTGGGCGGCGTACAAAGCGCGAAGATGCTCTATGGCCGAGGTTGGGCCTTCGACAAGGATCTGGGAGAACACCCTGGTCATTTGTTGTCCAGTGTGACGGTGCGAGGGGACCACGTCTAAATGCAGCAGTCAATTCTGGAGTACAGTACCGTCGGGAACCAGCTTTGGCCGAGTAAGACGGTCCTGGTGTGCCGGCAATACGGCAGACTATGTCCGGTACGCCCTTCGTGCGCTCGATGATGATGGCAAGATGTATCTGATTGTTGTTATGGGATGTAATAGTAAGGTGTACAGGAGCTACAGAGCTAGAAGACGGCAGAGGTGATTGTGGTATGGACGATGATGGTGGTCCGCGTGAAAGAGCAACTTGACGGATCGGGCTGCCAGCTACGCCGCTTCGCCCTTTACCACCATCGTCAGCCACGCCTGGACCGCTTGGCGTTCTCGCATCGTCTTCGTCACCCTCCCGCACTCGTCGTGCCGAGCCAGCCAAACACCATTTCTGAGGTGGACCTATCCGCACCCAGCGTACAGGATTCAAGCGTGGGAAATGATCAGGAGACGGATGCCCGATGTCCCAGGATAGGTCGACACGGGAGAGGGAGAGGTTCAGAGGGAGGTCAGATACGTACAGTACACTACGAGGACGTATTGCCACTATATAACTGTTTCTTCACCACTCCTACGGCTTAGACATACGTCTAGCTAGCCTACCAGATCCCAGCGCTCACGATTTGACCCGGCGACACTTCGCTTTATGACCACCTTCCTTCCAGTCCCTATACCGCATGAGCATGAGCATTCACCGCCATACCAATATTCGCGGCTACACGTACCTGCGCTGGCATGCTCGCGAGCAGTACCGTGCCTCACCGCATCCTTTGCATAGCGCCAGCGCACCCTGCGCGTGCTCCTCATGATACACGCACGCGCTCCACGAGCACAGACGAGCACGCGTCTCCTGATACCGTATCCGCTCTGCATGCTCGTCCAGGCGAAGTGCATTCCCTAGGTCGAGCCAGCACTGGATCACGCGCGGCGAATGCTCATTCTCATCTCGTTTCTCCTTCAAGTCTCGCAGAGACTCCAATGTGGCATACCAGGCCCCTCTTGCCCAGCTGTATAGTCCGAACTTGATCGACGTGCGGTTGACGTCAGACGATGACTCGACGTCGTTTGTGCTCGGCTCGACGGCTTCACACCAACGCGCCATTGTAACGCGTAGGGATGTGCGGAGCTCATCCAAGGTTTCATCTGCAAGCAATGAATTTGATAAATAACACAGTGAGATGCGGGGCGGAAGAACAAGCCTGACATTGCTCCTCGCTGGCAAATGGAGCGGGTACGCCATTGATGCTAGCGGTGCAGAAGTTCCCAAGTAAGAATCCCGCATGGCGGCCATTGATGGACGAGCAGAGACCCCTCGCGGCGCCTTCGCCCACGACACTGAAGCGCATGCGCGTTAAGCCATTGAGCATCATATCGTGAGGTCGACTCACCCCAGCAGGTCGCAGCAGCACTTACACCCAGCAAGCCAATGCGCCGCGCCTTGGTACTTCGCAATGATACGCTTGGCTTCGCGTACAATTATCGCGTGAAGAGCAGCCAACATCGGTTGCGCCCAGAAGGCTCTCCGAAGCGCAATATGGTGGTCTAGGTCCGGAGATAACAAGAGGTAGAGTTCCCGCATGTGCGACACCAAGTATTCATCGACCAACCACGCGCACCTCTCAAGTACAAGTCGGAATGCTTCCATGATCTTCAAGGGATCGAGACGAGAGAAGACTGCGTCAAATTTCGCATTCCAACGGATCGTCGCTAGGCTATCGCCGGGAACCGGGGGGTGAGACTCATTGAATCTGGCGACGAACGTCCTATGTTCCTGCAACAGTGTAGGAACATCACGGAATTTCGTATTACCGCGTCCGCCGCGCAAAACGGCGTGGGTCCATGCAAAGACGATCACCGGGATGAAGTCGACATCCAGAAGCTCCCGCTCCCCTTGCTCCGTAGATGCGATGCTGTCCCTGTGAGATAAGGGCGTCAACGAAAGAAGCTGATACTGAATCTATAAGTGCTTGCATCCATACCGATACCAATCGCATAAGATCTGCATGTCCCCGGATATGCTGACCAGCAGACCAAGTACAATCCCGGGCGCGCCAGCTACGTTGCATCTCGGGGAGAGGAAGTCGCCGATATGGGTCCACAGGTTCTTCCACGTAGGACGAAGCAATGCAAACATGAGATGGAGTTGCCTCTGATTCGGCACCACGGAATCGGCTAGGACGGCTTGCTGCGAGGGCTCCGCGCATATACACCATGCGGAGAGAAGTCCGGCCAGGCAGGTCAGGACATTGACAATCCAAATCTATGAAGTGTTGGAGATGAGCGGAATGACTCTGGGGATGATGCACTGTAGAGTTTACCGTGGGTTGCTTGGAGAAGGAGGGCTCCTTGATCATCTCCAGGAGAAGGATGATCAATTCACTCGATATGCACGCCCGCCACAGCTCGCCGCCAAGCAGAACCTTCGCGTCTGCAGTCTGGGGCTGCACTCCGTCCAACCCTATCTGTGGAATGCGTAGCTCATGTGCGAGATCCGACATGGCAAGCACGAGCTCCCCTTGTGGTTCAAGCAGAGAGGGCGGCTCTCGGCTGGCATACAAGGCGCGAAGGTGCTCAATGGCTGACGAAGGACCCTCGAGGAGCAGCCGTGAGAATTCCATGTCATTCTGCCGAGTCCTTGTATGCCGTTCCATTGTCACAGTAGTAGCCAGGTAGAAGCTATGCCCTGGCGCAGCACAGGGTGCACAGGAGACGAGGCTACGAGCTCTAACTAAGTCCGAATGCCCGCGGCGATCTTGAGATATGGCGATTCAGGGAGTTCAGAACATTGGCTGATGGATTGGTGCGGCCCGCAGACTATGGTTTAAGAGATATGGGGTGTTCGCTAGTCAAGCTTCAAGCCGAGAAATCGGCGGCAAGTGGTAATGGTGGTTTGCGAGAAACAATGTGGATGCCGCTCTGCATCCGCTTTTTGCTGGTGGACCGCCATCAACCCATCAGTGTCAACAACTTCTCGGACTCCGCCACTACTTTTGACTAGAGATAATCGTCGAATATCGGCTACACAGGGTTACCCCTCCCAATAGATAAGGATTGCTAGTGGCAAAAATCGGTCCTTATGCTAGCTAGGCCATGCACAATCCAGCTACCTCCGACACGAGGGCGACTGGACGCTGTGTCCCGACATGGGCTGCTCCTGGGGTTGCAGTCATACGGGCGTCAAGCTCGTGCTGTCCTTAAGTAAACACGACTGAGCAAGTGTAGGATCCGGAGATATCTATTTTCTAGATACACACGTCGATGTGTCCGATGTACGTCGCTCGCGAACCACCGAATGTTCTCGTAGCATAACAGTACTCAGTACTCAGTACTCAGTACTCAGGGTGTGCGCGGGAACCTCCAACACGTTCCATCGCATGCCGGTCCGTATGTCTGTAGAACGCAACAGAATAAGGCCTGGTCAAAGGGGCGCTCTCCAGGGTCATAGGTACAAATGATGAAGGCAATGACGACGGGACGCCCTGCGAGCGATGGCGTGGATGGTACCATACATAGGAGGTACTGCGCCCCGCACCTGACCAAACTGTACCGGCGACAGCTGTCAACAGCCTTGAGACTCGCAGCTCAAAGCAGGCCTTGTACACGACGAATCTCTCGAGAGACGACACGAGCAATATAAGTGAAATGAATAGCATTCTGAGAGAGCGGGAGATGATCGCAGGACGGAAGGAGCCTGGCCAGACGCGTACGTCATGATGCACGAGACGTTGCGCGCCTGTCAGTAGTGGCGCCAAACCTGCGCAGTCTTGCGCGCGCAGGACCATAAGACCGTCCGGGCGCGTCCTGGCCTTGGTCCCTTACCACCACCCTCTTGCCCATCATGGCCAACGACTCCTGGAGCGACGGCATCGTTCTCAAGGTGCGCGACGTCGCTGCTGCAAGTGAATAGAATATGGGCTGAATGCTGGTGAATAGATCGTCAACATCATTGTGTATTTGGCGTTCCTCGGCTCGAATGTCTACACCGTTGCCTCGCCCAGGGACATCTACTACACCGGAAAGGAGACGTACCTGACCCCGGCGCCCTGGGCCTTCCTCATCTGGTAAGCCGCAAGTGTTGCTGGTCAGCGCGGCCTTTGACTAACGAATGCCACCCAGGTCGCTGATCCACCTCCTGCTCCTGGGCACGGTCATCTACCAGTTCTTCCCCGCCGGCAAGCGCGTCATCATCGACGGCATCTCCTGGCGCTTCGCCCTCCTCGGCGTCCTCAACGTCGTCTACACCAACCTCTGGGCCGAGGCGCACTACATCGCAGGTACGCCCCCTTCGCTCGCCCCCTGCTCGCTTCCGCGCACTGACACTTATATTTAGCGTTCATCTTCGCGCTCCTCGTCTCGAGCACGGTGACGCACATCTACTACGTCGTCAAGAAGCACCACGAGCCCGGCTCCGCCGCGGACGAGATCCTCGTGCACCTCCCCTTCTCGCTCTACCACGGCTGGACGACCGTGCTCGTCGTGCTCACCGCCTTCGAGGCCTTCGGCGTCAACGCGTGGGCGCACAAGGCCGGCGTCTGGACCAAGGTGTTCGTGTTCCTCGCGCTCTTTTTCCTGGAGAGCACGAGCGCCGCGTACGCGTTTGCGACGCCCGAGGGCGATCTGCCGGGCAGTGTTGCGATCACGTGGAGTCTGTGGGCGATCTTTGCGCATCAGCGGAGCGACGCGTTTACGCATTGGACGGCGCTGGCGTTTGCGATTTTGTCGCTATTGTGGGTCATCAAGGGCGCTGTGGGCATCGGGCGTGGGCGCCGTGCTGGCATCCTTGACGACGCCGAGCGCGCGCCGCTCATCGGCAGCTCATAAGGTATAATGCATACATGAGTATTCGTTCGAAATCTCGAGGGCTCTGGTATGAGCTTCGAGCGCTTTCGACGATCGTATGATACTGGGATGAACGATCTTTGGAGAGTTTTCTTGCCATGTATCATCTTCTTTCTCCCGTTTTCTCAAACAAGGACTGTCTTCTCGCATTGTCATTGGCATGAGTTGTACTTGTATCTCATTTTGCTTTTCGGAGCGTATCTTGCTTTGGAATGATGATCACTGTTGCTTTGTTGAACTGGTACCTATACGAAGCGGTCGAGAGTGTGCGGTGCCGACCTTATCACATGGAGCGAAAAGGCGTTGCACTGAACAGCTGAAAGTGGACAGCTAGATGGTGTGGCATATGCGTGAGTAGAATATGCATGCAGCTAGAAGCGACAAGGAAGCGAAGACCCAGCCAAGTGAAAGCGAAGACGACCGGCGAACGCCGCGCGCACAGCACGAGCCACAGACGCGTCTGCTCTTGACGCTCATGCTGCTGCGCGTCCCGCTTCCTAGGACGCGACGCGCGTCTGTCTCTGCGCTATCTGCACCTCTGCTTACAGAGCATCTTCCAGCACATCCTACGACGCTCTCGACGGGCGCATAGACGCGTAACCCACTCTTCGACGCGTCTTACTCTAGCTGTGGCACCTCCACTCTCTGCGCCATCCCACCACCACGACCACGATCCGCACCAATGTCGCTCAACGCATCAACAGACTCCTGGGTCCGCTCCTACGAGCACCTGCAGCACCTCCCGCGCGCGGACGAGGCGCTCAACCTGCTCAAGCGCATCTCGTCGCTCGTGAAGCCCATCATGCGCAAGCACGCGTGGATGCTGCCTACGCTCGCCGAGTTTTTTCCCGATCAGGCTAATTTGCTCGGTGCGCGTCGCTACTCTTCTTCTACTATGCGTAGTAGGCTGACGCACGTATGGTAGGCATGAGTACGTGTTTGACGCTTGTATGAAAGAAGGCCCGAAGCGCTGAGAGTGTGCGGTGCTAGACGTCAACGGCGGACAGAAGATCCTCATCAGACTACGCCCGCACTACGACAGCTCGGCGTTCATACCCGAAGAAGACCTCCTCGGCACGATGCTCCACGAGGTACGTTCCCCCCCTCCCCCCTCCCCTCCCACCTCTCTCATCAGCCTACCTGATATCCCTCTATAGCTAACGCACAACGTCCACGGCCCGCACGACGCGCACTTCTACACCTTCCTCGATCAGCTCCAGGACGAGCTGTACGAGCTCCGCCGGCGGGGGTACGCCGGCGAGGGCTTCTTTTCGCCCGGACGGAGGCTCGGGGGCTCGGGTGGGCTGTCGCATGATGTACCGGAGCATGTTAAGCGGCTGAGGGCTGTTGAGGCGAGGCGGGGGATGCAGGGCGTGTCTGGTGTAGGTGGAGGGGCGAGGTTAGGTGGAGGGAGTTTGGCGGGTATTGGACTCTCGCCGAAGGAGGCCGCCGCACTTGTACGTCCCCCCCTCTTCACCATTTCTATTTCAAATAACTAACAGTACCTGCACAGGCAGCGACAATGCGCGCAGAAGACGCGACGCACTGCGGCACCGGCGACCGCGCGCGCGAGGACGCCGAGATGGAGCGGGCGCTCCGGGAGAGCGTTAGGACGGCGGCTGACGTGGTTAGGGAGCAGGAGGAGATTGAGCGGGCTATTAGGGAGAGCGCACGGATGGTTGGCTCCAGTTCAAGGCTACCACCGCCCGTGAACCTGGAGACGCGTCCGAGCGCGAGGCCGGCGACGACGTGGGCGTGTGCGGTTTGCACGCTTGTTAATCCCGTTACGGCGAAGGCTTGCGATGCGTGCGAGACGCCGCGACCGACAGTCAAGCCGACATCGACGCGCTCTGCACCTGCGCGGACTGCGCCGTATCCTCCTCTATCGCATTCAAGACCGCCAGAGCCGAAGGGGTGGGACTGTAGCGCGTGCGGGGAGAAGGGCATGCCGCATGAGTTCTGGACGTGCAGCTTTTGTGGGGTCGTGAAGGGGGATAGCAGTGTGCGGTATTGAGCGCAGATTCGCTGTTGTGGATGGTGTGCTGTTGGATCTATTGTCGTGTATTGCTTGTTTGTGCTTTGATTGCTTTGCTGCGTGTATAATATTTGTACTGTTTATAGACCAAGACCCTCCAATACATATTACACCACGCGCTTGTGTGCGCTGACAACCATGCCTCTGCTCTCTCAAACCCAAGCTCTACGCGAACGAAGCCCAAACCCCGCACACACTCCCCACAACCCCCATAACGCCCCTCACCCAATTCTGCGCTCTCCACGCCTCCACACCCCGCACAGCCCTCTCCCCGCCAACTCTCTTCGCCTCGACCTCGTCCTCACTGCCTTTAACGAGCTTCTCGATACCGCCGAGCATAACGAAGAACGTATACGGCAACACGCCGATCGTCAGTACGGACGCGGCAGCGAAGAGGAAGCTGCGGTGTGCAGCGCCAAACGACCCCTTGGTGACGAAGCGGGCGTTGGAGACGTTGAGCGCGGCGTACGCGTATGCGACGCTTGAGAGCGCGGCGAGGGGCGGCATGGCGGTTTCGCCGCGGGCGTAGAAGCGCGCGAAGGCGCGCAGGAGCGGGAGGGGGGTTGTGGATGTCGCTGATGTGGATGATGGGTGGGATGTTGTGAGGAGGGCGGGGATGGCGGATGAGGAGCTTGAGAGGAATGCGCCTGCATGCGTTTTGAGGTCAGAGAGCGGGAGATGAGGGGGCTGGGAAGGGGCTTACCGGAGAGAATGCTAGATGTCACGATCCCGACTGCCGCTGCTACGCGTACACCGTCGTAGTGAGTAGATCCGGGAACAGACATGATGAGCGGGTGTGTTGACGACGTTTGCGACTTGTTGACGGGGTGATATACGCGCTATTAGGCGCCGTTGGAGTCGCCTGCTGCCACGACGACGCGTCCATGCCGAGTCTAGATTGTCACGGGGGCGCGCATCAGGGGTGACGTAGCGCGTTTGCCGAACGCGGTCTTCGACTTTCCTTGCGGCGTGCAGCGCTCAGCGTGTAATCCATCGGAGGGGTTGCGTTCAGAAGCAGGACAGCAACGACACAAGCTCGTGAGGATCAGTAGGCGAGATCAATTCAACGACTCGATTACAGCGCCGTGTACAATCGACAGAAAACATATACTACAGTGAATGATGGCTACGCTGTGTCCGATTCTCCCAAGAGATACATTCAACAGACCCATTTACGACGCAAACGAAGCCCAAGCCCCAAGCGCACACCCAACGAGCGGAAGAGTTCCGCGGATCCAGTTCCTGCTCGCCCACTTCACAACATTCTCAACAGCCCTATCCGTCCCGACCCTCTCCGCCTCGACCCGATCCTCCGCGCCCCTCTCCAGCTCCTCAAAGCTCCCCGCCATAACCGCCTTCGCAAACGGAACAGTCCCGACGCTCAGCGCGGCGGCGAGCGAGTAGAGCAACGTGCGGTGCGCGGCGCCGAACGAGCCGTTGGTGATGAAGGGCACGCTTGTGGCGCGCGCGGCGGTGTAGGTGAAGAGGGCACCGGAGAGGAGGGAGAGCGGGAGGGTTAGGGTGGTGGAGTGGGTGACGAGGCGGTGGAAGGCGCGGATTAGGGGTTGGGCGCCTGGGGAGGAGCGGGTCGTTGTGAGGATGGCGGGGATGGCGAAGCCGGAGGTCGCGAAGATGGCGCCTATCAAGGTTGCGTGTCAGTAGACTTGTCAAGCTGGGGGTAGAGGTACAGAGACGTACCCGACAGAACGCCAGAGGTGACAATACCGAGCGCGGCGGCGGCGCGTACGCCGTCAAAGTGAGGTCCCCGTGCAGACATTGATGGAGACGATACGAGTAGTGTCAAGAATGCGGACGAGATGGTGGTGTTGAAGTCGTTCGAAGTCAATTCGAAGGGCAGTTTAATACTGACAGCGACGTAGAGCGCGTCATAGACTTGGGCCCCATAGTGACGGTATAATCATGCGAGACGGATGCGCCTTGGCGGGGCGCTGTATCCTCACCTCCCAACTGCCCTTGTCAATTGTATATATGAAGTAGAGTCAAAGCCAGCAGTATACTCGAATGCATAATGCAGCACTCGCAGCGGAGACTTAAGCGTCGCCGGCGCAGACGCGTACACTGGCGGCACGCATACATAGACGCCCGGCACCTGCGCGTCGAGCAGGCAAGACGGAAGGACCAACGTGCGTCATCGATGCGCGCGGGATGCGACGCGCCCTCGTGACTCTGACGCGTCGGCGCGGCGGACAGCCGCGGAGGGCTCGCACGCATATATAGCTCGACTGGAGGGGATCGCCAGAGCACTCACTCGCCTTTTACTATCATCGACTTCATCGAGCAGTATGTCTGGCTCTGGAGCTCACTTTGACGGCGTGCGCGCTGCGGCGGCTGTCGGTATCATGACCAGCGGTATCCTCTCAGGTAACTCCCCACCCCCATACACAGCTCCCACACAATCCTGACCCTCTCCCTCCAGGCGCAATCATCTCAGCCTCCGCCTGGGGCATCCCCGCAATCCTCACAACCGCCTCCTCATCCTCCTCCGACGCGCCCCTCACGACCCTCCGCGCCTTCACCACGCTCTACAACCGCGGCAAGTCCACCGCGCCGCCCCTCGCGGCCCTCGCGTCCGCCTCGTTCGCCTACGCCGCGCTCCGCGCCTCGAACGTGCCGTTCATTACCAACGGCTCGTTTGCCGCGGCGCATAGGAGTTTGTTGTTTGGCGCGGCGGCGGTGTTGACGGTGGGGATTGTGCCGTTTACGTTTGCGGTGATGATGAGGGGGATTCGGGTGCTTGTTAGGGCGTCGGAGGGGGAGGGGGAGGCGAGGAAGCTGGGCGAGGGGAGGGCGGTTGAGGGGGTTGTGGCTTGGGGGGCGCAGAACTATGTGAGGGGGTTGTTGCCGCTTGTTGGGTGTGCGTTGGGCACTTGGGCTTCGTTCGCGTCGTAAATCGGGATGTTCTTCCCTTTGCATCTGGGCTTGGATCGCATATGTATGATAGGGCTATACTTCAATCGTTATCAAAACCATTCAACCATTCGCAATCAGTGTATATGCCATGATGCGTGAAATGCCTGAGCACCAGTCGGTGTCATATCTTCCTGCGCCGATCACCCCGAATTTGTCCGTTCTTCAGTCAGGATGGTCTGTGTCAGGAAGGTTCTCACTGCCTGACGCCTCAGCCACACCAAGTCTTGCTTGTGTGCGTATCTTTGGGTCCGAGAGTCTCAATCTTCGCGGGCGCTACTGTGGATGATAACTACCCGCGATTGCCGGGCGGTAGTGTCCCTATGATAGACTCAGAGTTCTGAGGGAAGAGATGCCTTGGAGATGCCGCCGGTATTGTATTGGGGGTTGAGGTTATCGCTTGCCTTACTCGATTCCGTGTGGCGTAGATATGTGCGAGTATCACGGACAGACGACCATGGGGACCTCTCTAACACGGTCCGCGTTCGAGCGCTCGAGATATCAGGGTTGTCCGGAACCCCAAACTAGCTTTGTACTTCACTGTGGACGCGCCAGAAAGTATACTTTCGTGCCTCTCCCGCATAACGGGGTGCAGCGTAGAACTTCTGAAAGCTAGAAGACGTTGGACGTCGTCGATGTCGGGCATGCGCGCACACTCGTTCGACCCTGCGCGATGACCCTCGAGCACGAGTAAGATCATCTGCGCGACATACCCGTACGTCGCGCTTCGCGCGGCAGCGTGAGCACTTGTGATAATGTGGTATGAATCCTGCCGCGGGATTCCCCGGTTTGATTATAGCTCGGGATACCACCAACAAAATGAGAGTACGGATGCAGATAGAGAAGCCGGTTACTATAAGAGAGTATGTAATCGGGACGGTTGCTATCGTAGCAAGCATACACGCCATTTCAAATTGCGTTGTGAAGTATTGTGAAGCCTTGTAGGTCACAGCAGACCAGCCGAATCACGTTTGGGTGGCAATTCGAGATGATCTCGACGGAGTTCTCCCGCGGAGAAGGTCGTACACGGATGCTGACTGGTAGGTGCTGTAGGGTCGCGCTGTTACGATCTGATGAAATAAGCAGTTTGGCTGTATAGCATTGACTCTTTCAAATCGGTGTACTAGGAAGGAGAGAGGCAAGCCATTGCGATGGTGACTGTACAACACAAGAGCGACCGCGCGCCCACGCCGCCGCGGCAAGCACCCCGGCATCTTCCGCAGCCGGCCTTCGGCGCCACCCTGCAGAAGAACGTCCCTTCAACTTCGACCGCGACGATGATAGGCGCAAGACGGCGTAGAACCCATACTCTCATGCCCATCATTCCAGGATATCAATTTATCCTAGTCTGGAGGGACGTCTACCGGCATTGTCTGATATTTCGTGAGCCCGCCACCCCGTGCATCACGCTCAACCCCCGTCGTCCCTACCTGTGAGCGCATCGCGCGCGCCGTATCCAGCGAATGACTCCATCCTATGCGCTGCGCCGTCCTCGCCTGACCCGCCGCGCCTCCCGACGGTCACTGCGGTCTTACACAACGCTCTCTGCCATCGCGTCTCAGGCCAAACGAACCTAGTCTAATTCTGTCAGTGCAAGGCAGGCTCGTCCTCCCGGGCCTGAACGCGGCCCTGTATGCGCTGAGGCGCGGGTACGCAGCTAGGACCCGTATCGACCATCTGCTGACTTGTCTGTTGATGCCGACGATCGACCGTGGGAGGGCTTTCGCCATTACAATTCGGTGGCGGTCGCTCGGCGCTAGCCTCATGGCGCGGGTAGACGTCGCAATTGGCGGAGTGGCGTCAAACGGCGACTACTCGAAGAGGATGAAGCTTGCTTCTGCCCGGACTTTTCATCGCGTCTTGTGGCACTTTCACCTCACTCGACTCGAATCCCGTCGTCCCTGCGCGGGCGCGGCCGTCTATCGCCAACCTACTCCAAACGCATCTGACGGTTTTCGTAAGGGATGGTCGACCCTACCATCGCCGGCTCAGTTTGGCCTCGGCGACCTCAATCCTATCAGTACTAGCCCTAGCCGCAGAAACCGTGGAACGTGTACTCGGGCGATGGGGGTCGAACTCGGGACCGCACTAGCTGCATCCTGCCAGCATTCGCACTGCAGCCGTCGCCACATTTCAACCTGTCTGCCCAACCCAATCGTACTATCAGCGGCTGTACGAAATCCGCAGGACGCTCTCCTTTTCCAGGCAACGCCCTGCCCAACCAAACGTCATATATAAGTCCTGTTGACGACTGTACCCGAACTCGTGTCCCTCCTCCTCCCTCCGCCCCCCTTCCTCTCCGCTCGACACGGTCTTCAGCTCAAGCACACCATGAGCTCCACTCCGTCATTCGATGAGAAGACGATCGCGCCGGTCCTGAACGAGGATGTACGGACATATAGCGACGAGAAAGTCGGCGCGTCGGATCGGTCGAAGACGGCGTCGCCGGAGGTGTACGTGCCGACGCTCAGCGCAGCCGAGCAAGGGCGGGTGTGGCGGAAGCTCGACCTGTACTTGCTGCCCTTCGTGTCGCTGCTCTACCTCTTCTCCTTTCTGTGAGTATTTGTCCAGCGGGATCTACTCCATTGTGGCGTCTCGATGCTGATGCCGTTCAATACAGTGACCGTGCCAATATTGGTATGACAACTTGATGCCGGGTGTCATCGGTGCAATGTGACTTACGCGTGTATATAGGGAACGCCAAAGTGGCGGGTATGGCGGCCGATCTGAAGCTTGAGGGTATGTCAGCGGCGCTATGGGTTTCTGATCTCTTACAAACGTATATGTTCTCAGGTTTGAAGTACAACATCGCCGCGGCCGTGTTCTTCGTGCGTATCTTTGATGAGGGTGGTAGTGTTTGTTGTGGCTAACGTCTTGCTCAAGATCCCTTACTCCTTCCTGGAGATTCCCTCGTAAGTCTCAGGCGTCACTCCTAAGATGGCCTCGTACTCATGTTGCTCAAAGGAACATTGCGCTAAAGGTCTTCAGACCGTCTATCTGGATCCCGTCTATCATGATAGCATGGGGATTAGTCATGACATGCATGTGCAAGGTCGAATCCTTCAACGGGCTTGTCATGTACGTTTTCGACTCCAAGGCGTCTGGGGCACGTTCTGATAGATAACTTCCAGCGCTCGGGTGTTCTTGGGTATGACCGAGACGGGACTCTTCCCTGGCGTCACCTACTACATCTCCCTCTGGTACCCGCGTCGTCTGCAGGCGAAGCGTGTAGCCCTGTTCTTCTCTACTGGATCTCTGGCTGGTGCCTTCGGTGGTATCCTCGCGTATGGTATCGAACATCTTGAGGGCCGTGGCGGTCTTCATGGTTGGCAGTGGATCGTGTGTATCATTTTCTACGTTCTTAAACTGGTCTGACTGTCGTTCGCTAGTTCCTTATCGAGGGACTCATGACAATCGTGCTTGCGATGCTGTCCTTCTTCTTCATGCACGACGTGAGTCGCTTGTTTCCTTCTCGATAGCTCCCCTGCTGACACGCCCACAGTATCCTGACACGGCGACGTTCTTGACGGAAGAGGAGCGCGCATTCGTCGTCAACACTCTCAAGGCCGACTCCATGGGTCAAGCGAAGCACGTCTCGGCAGCATTCGTCTGGCAAGCGCTGGCGGACTGGAAGAGCTGGGTACAGATCGGGATGTACATCGGTGTCCTCGTACCCGTCTTTGCCGTTGCGCTGTTCATGCCGTCGATCATCGCCGAGCTCGGCTTTGCGAATGCGGAAGCACAGCTGCTGACGATCCCGCCCTTCGTCGCGGGCTGCGCACTTACCATCATTGTCGGCATTTACTCCGATCATATCCAAAGGCGCGGCATCTTTTGCCTGGGAGGCGCGATCGTTGCGATGGTTGGTTATATCGTCGCATACACCACGTCCACGCCCGGCGCAGGCTATGCGGCAACCTTCATCGCCACCATTGGCGTATACCCCGTCATCGCTGTGGCTTTGGCATGGGCTGGCGGCAACGCGGGTGGTGATTTGAAGCGCGGCGTCGTCATTGCTATGGTAATCGGCATCGCCAATCTCGGAGGAGTCTGCTCGTCCTTCATCTACTATGACCCGCCGCACTACCACCACGGCCACGGCACGATGCTAGGCTTCCTTGGGTTGTCGATCATATGCAGCTCCGTTCTCATCTATACGTATGATCGGTTGAACAAGGAGAAGGAGGAGCACTGCCGGCGCGAGGGTATCACGGCCGATATGGCACCACAGTTCGCGAACATGGGCGACAAGAGTCCGCTCTTCCGGTGAGTACTGACCATCATCTCACCACCACATCCCGCTGATTCTTAACCTAGCTACGTTCTCTGAGTGTCGTCGTGTCCGCACGCTGTCCTGCATCTCTAGACATCATAAAGCTCTCTCTTGTGCTATCAATATCTACGATAGGTAGTTGTACTCCAGCGCTTTGCTTCTTGTTATCTAATGTTCTATATGCTTTGTAATGTACTCACGATGGCTCATCTACCACTGTTGTATCAGTGTACGACCAATAGATGTCATTTGTCACACGCGCGTCCTTCCTCGAGAGGATATCCGGCCCGGGACGTAGACTTTTGTGGCCTCGGACTGGCCTCGGTAATCAAATTGATTTGCATCGGCTGGGAAGATGAGTAGGCTATTCGACGCCGTCCGGGTAACGGTGATGAGGTGGATACAGTGTTGAACGTGGACCCACAGCGCAAATCAAATTACTCGTCGCGGAGATATCGAGATCTCTTAGCCGTTCGTTGAGCATAAAGTCGTTGCCGGTGAAGGTTTGGATGATGCTCATTACATGCCAGGCCAGCGAGCATGATGAGTCGCGGATCCTCAACGTGTCTCCAGATCTTCACAGCTCAGGCGGGCATATGGCCACTCCTTGCAATCAAGTGGAGGTCTCGAGGTCTGGTGAGTTCGTATCAATGCCACTACGGCCATAGCTCCGAGCACACCTTACGCGGCTGTGACGCCGATACAAGCAATCTGAGAAGAAGGACGAACGAAAGGCATACCCGGTCATCTTGAACTCATCCTTGCCTAAGACTGTGTGTACCAAAAGAAGGCTGGCATGTAAGGGCGCCAGTACTTGTTTTCTCGTCCAGTCTATGCCACGCCAAGAAGAGCGGATATGCGCGTAATAAGCCGTTGATGTCCCAGACACGCGCTGTGTGACTGGGATGTGATTGCGTGGTGATCCGTGTTTGCTTTCCCATGCGAAACACAGGAACATCCGCATAACGAGCAGGCTTGACGCGCCGGATGGCTATATGAACCACTTTATAAGAGCAGCACCGAGCAAGTTGAAGGCTCTCTAGGCATCTCATCACCTCTATCATGAAGTTCACGGGTCAGTACTAGTCCATACTCTCATCTCCCGAGTATTTGACGCTCAAGCCGTACAGTCGCATCTATACTCGCCGCTGGCGCCACGACTGCCTGGGCCACACCCGTAGATGGAGCTACCGCACTTCTCAACCGTGATACAACGCTCGCAAACCAGACGCTCGCAGACTGGGTTGCTGACACCGCGCTCCCGCTCTTTTTCCCGAACCACACGGGTTGGGACACATATTACGATCAGTTCTTCTCGCCGGATCTGACGGCAACATTCGGCATCAATTCGTACAACTTCACAACGCTCAAGGCGTACTGGACTGCGACGCAGAGCGCACTCGCGTCCCAGTTCGAGTTCTTTGCCGTCGAGATCACCAATCGTGTTGCTCTTGCGGCGCCAGGTGGTGTAGGTGGACAGGTCTTGCTGACTGGGATGGAATATGGCGTTCTCCGAAGTACCGGCGAAGAGGTTGTCGGGACAAACGGCGCTTATGGCGTCATCGAAGAGGTTGACGGTCAGCGTCTCATCACGGAGGTGCGTCCGCAATGCGTGATACCCATCCACTCTGGAGTCTCATCGTGCGCATTAGTGGCACGACTTCACAAACGCGGGCACCGACGGCACCGCAAGCGCATAGATAGACTTCCATGTAGACCCTTAGCTTGTAGAGCACTTGTGAAGGTCCATTTATTCAACCGTCATACTGGTGCAGGTCGATCCCACAGTAGACGTTTGCCAACGATGGCAATAGGTTCGATGGCCCAGTCGAGATTTCGAAGTGATTACCGAGAACATACCCCGAGAAGTATCGTGCAGGAATCAGAGCAGCTAGGCTAAGAATATTTCACTGCTGGAAGGCAGCCGAGAACTCATAGCATGATTGTATGATCGTTGCAAAGGGTGTTGCAAGCCTTGGTGGTGGTCGAGGTCCAACCTGCGAAGCGCATGTGATCGCGACGCGCGTCGCGACGCGTCTGGTCTTTAGCGCTAGCCTGGCCTTCGACGTCCATGTTCATTTGCTTGAGGGTTCGTTCGTCGCGTGCAGGTGCGCGGTAGTCGCAGACGGCAAACCATACTGGCGGGTGGACGATTGCTAGCGCTAAGTAAGCTTGGAGCGAGCTCAGACGTAGCTGTCGTAGTGGCCTCCTGGTGCCATATCCTGACACGACGTCGCTGCCATCCTGCGTACTGACGAAAAAGCTTCTCTCGTACATCTCGCACACTCAGCAGGTAAGTTATGACTGTATAACTCTGATGACCCTACAGACTTCCTGAGGGTCTCTTTACCTCATGAGAGTCGCCGCGACGGCGATCATACCGAGCCCGTTTTACGCAGTATTTGCACCCCAAATAGTTTCGCCAAGTACAAATGGGCGCTGTCTCTGTAGAAAACTGAATGCGGTTGCCCTCCTGATATTCTGCTTTGAGCCTGACACTAGGCAAGTAGCTGATGACACGACAGCCCTCCTGAATGCGCTTTCGAACTTCTTTCACTTCGTACATAGGGCCCAGGGGCGATTGGTAGCGCAATAGCTGAAGACTGCAGATGCAACGCACAGTCGAGCTTCCACGTAACTGCTTAGTGATTGTGATTCCTTCGCGTGAGCAGGTTTCTCAGCTATACAACGACATCGGCGGAACATTCGCCCAATGGGTTCACGGAATGGTTCATAAGAGCAATGGTGGCGGCAGGTAGAGGACACCATACACCTCACCACCCTATTTCGCAACCTGCTCAGCATCTATGAAGTCCCTTAACGTTGGTCAGCCCCTGCCCACCCAGTCTGCAGCCATATTCTTCACGTACTCATCGTGAACCGCCAATAGTTGCAATTGTGCTCGTAGCGAGCACAACACCTGTATTAGCGAAACCCGTCGACAGAATCGTTCAACAAGACACGGCACTAGCCAACCAGACGCTCGCAGACTGGCTGGCAGATACCGCATTGCCACTTTTCTTCCCAAATCACACTGGATGGGACACACACTACGACCAGTTCTTCTCACCAAATTTGACGGCGTCATTTGGCATCAACTCGTACAACTACACCACTCTCAAGGCCTTCTTCAACGCGACACAGAATGCGCTCGCGGCCCAGTTCGAGTTCTACGCTGTCGAGGTCGACACCCGTGTTGGTCTTGCAGCGCCGGACGGAGTAGGTGGACAGGTTCTACTCGCCGGCAAGGAATACGGCGTTCTCCAGGGCACCGGAGAGGAAGTCGTCGGAACGAATGGCATCTACAGCGTTATCGAGGAAGTTGACGGGCAGCGTCTGATCACAGAGGTACGTCCGCGTTGTGATGTCCACAGAGATAGGATCTCATCATGAATTGGACCCCAGTGGCGCGATTTCACCAATACGGGCACCAACGGTACTGCTACTGCGTAGATACAGCATTACATAGACTTGTGGCCAGTCCATCATATGTATTGAAGAGGTCCTAGACTTCCCGGCTGTCCGCACGTCCACTGGAAGTCGCGCAGTAAATAGCGACACGGCGCAGCGCCGATACAAACCAGTTGCGCCAATGACTTGAAGTACAAGACGACACATGCGATCATAGCGCATAGCGTCAAGTTTCCGAACGTCCCCAGTTCCGATTCGAAGGCACGCCAACCCAGTCAATGGCCTAGGTTGCCCCGTTCACGGTTGTGGCGGACATCGGAGGTAGGGCGGAATCAGGAGCTGGTGTCTCTTCTTTCTTTGCAACACTGTTTCTTAATCCGTTTAGGTGTTCTGGTTCCCGCCTGGAGAGATGCCTGATTGAGCAAGGAAAGCAACAATCAGGGAACGAACGAACCAAGTCCGCCAATGGTCAAATTGAGTCTGATTCAGGTAGTCTCTCAACCCATCCTCGCTCAGCCCAAGACGAAATCGCTCGTGCTGCAGCAAGTCTAAGTGATGTAACGCGTGCGGGTACCTAAATAAGGTTCATCAGTCTCGGGAGGAAGGTACAGTCACGATGAGGACGGCGTACATGACGAATCGGGCATACTCTTTCCTCTTCCAATACTGTAGATATGACAGGTAGTTCACGAAGGCGGGCTGTGTCATGATGCCCTGTTGTGCAAGAGAGTGGAGGTAAAAAGGGTTCGCAAGGGCCTGGACGAATTCCAATTCGAGTTCGAAACGCTGTCGATTACGGGCACGAGCTTCCGCACTGGGTGCGCTCGATGGCGGGGCTTCAGAGTTCATCACTGGGACGGCGCCTTGAAAAATATCTGAAAGGCCCAGAAATCGCTATATCGAGGTACTCTTCGGGGCACAGGGCACACGAAGTCTCTGGCGATGAGAAATGTTGAAGCAAGGATGATGGTGGTGGTTGAGGTCAACTGCGCGAAGCACATGTGATCGCGACGCGCGTCGCGATTTGGCGCGTGGCGCGACGCGTTCAGCGCCCTACTCGAGTCTGCCTGCAACATCCACAACGGCGTTCCTATCCTGAAGCAGTCATTTATCTAGTACTTGCGCAATGTCTGGCGATGATGACTCAAGCGGCTGGCAGCTTACTGAATCCGATCCGGGTGTATTCAGGTGTGTGCCCAATTCGCCAATTGAGTTAGAGGCGCTCATGGGAACGCCTGTGATATTTGCAGCGAGCTACTGAAGTCACTAGGGGTACCCATGGTCGTTGATGACCTATACTCGCTTGATGAAGGGGCCTTAGAGTCTCTTCAACCTTTACGCGCCCTCATCTTCTTGTTCAAATGGCTACCAGGCGCCGGAGAACCTGAGGCAACCGGCGGCACGTATGATGGCGAATTTCCCGGGTTCTTTGCCCATCAAACTGTCAACAATGCATGCGCGACCCTGGCTGTCATCAATGCGCTCGGGAATATACCAGATCTGCCGCAGGGCCCCCAGCTTCAGGAATTGCTCGAGTTTTGCACTGGCATGGATCCACAGACGCGTGGAATGGTGGTAACGAGCGCAGACTGGTTGCGAGAAGGTATGCTTGGACATGTGGATCTCTTCCATGGTTGACGGTCGCCGTGTAGCACATAATGCGCTCTCACCGCCAGCAGCCATCTCCCTTGATGGTCTAGGTTTGAAGGGTCAGGCAGAAGACGCATATCACTTTGTTGTTTACCTACCGGTCTTTGGCTCCATCTATGAGCTAGACGGTCTAAAGCAATCGCCGATAAGCCATGGTCCCTACGAAGAGAGTGGAGAAGGGTGGCTCAAGAAGGCCCGGTACGTATGATAACTCCGAGCTTTGCAAATTCACCCACCAAGCTGCGGCTCACATCCATCGTAGTTCCGTTCTTGAAAGCCGTATAGCGACGTATCCTCCCGGCTCTGTAAGTCCTTTGTCGTTTTATGCGTTTGCTGTGACTAACAGCCACCCACTTTGTCAGTTAGAATTCAGTCTATTAGCTTTGCATGACGATCCACTGCCTTTGCTTCGCACACAACTCGACAGTGCTCAGAGCACCGGTGACGGGATCTTGGCTGCCGAAGTCAGTCAGCGCCTCGAAGAAGAGAACGCAAAGCGCGAAAGATGGGCTGTACGTTTCGACCTAACAATATGACTTTGGATCGGCGCCCTGACGCTCTCTCCAGTTCGAGAATGCCTTGAGACGGCACAATCATCTCGGTCTGGTGCATGCCCTTCTCCTTGCCATGGCGAAAGGCGGTCAACTCGATAATGCTACCGACAGCGCTCGCAAGACCATGGTGGATCGCATCGAGGCTCGTCGAGCCAAGGGAGAAACAATGGATGAAGACTAATAGACACTCGTGCGCACTGCTGTCTGACACGCCCATCGAACAATGCCTTGCCAGTCAGAGAATACGTGGGCATCGGCTGAACTGTGACGCCAGCTGGGCCCGCGACCTAAACCGCGCCTTTCCTCCGCCGCCAAAACGGGTCGTGTCTAGCGCTAGCCGGCTGCTTCATGAGAGTACCCGCCACGCAGTTTGTTTCTTGGCCAAATATTATTGTACCTAATCTGTATCACGAGAGTTCTGTCATCTAGTGCTGACAGAGTAACTTGATGTCCCGTGCAAGTCAAAACCGGCAGATGATGTTCAAATATACGTCACGCCACAAGCTGGATACAAGAGCCCGGTCCCTATACTGATGTGCGATCTTGACGGTCTCTACGAATCAGGAACCATTCCGAATACTCACAGGCGCCCGTGGTGTCCCTACCGTAATACCTTCTTAGGACCTGATGGAAAGGACGCGGCTAATACTGTGATTTGCGCCCATTTCGCGCGGATTTTCTGTTCAATGTGTCTCCAGAAGTCATTAGCGGGAAAGCCGTTTCCTCGCAAGTCATGTACGCTGAATTGATGTCGTTGACGCCCGAAGATGGGCGGAAACAACGACAACGGATCAAATGCTTGACGGAACTTCGCGGTCGGCGACAGCGCTCCCGCGCTCCGTTGCGCGCACGACGCGACACGTCCGACCAGACTTCCATCTCGCCTGCCTGCTAGGGTGCTCCGCTGTTGCCATACCAAATGCGAAGAAATCCAAATCGTCTACTATAATGACACCTGCCAATGGTGTGGCGCATGTAGATGAGGAGCTAGAAGCTGAAGTTGCACTCCTGAACGGGCACACGGACGCCGAGGTCCACCTTGCTTCTGTCGCCGAGAGGAAAAGATTGTGGTGGAGGAATGCTGTCGTGAATGGGTCAGCCATACTAGCATGGTACGTTTACTTCTAGACCGTACTCTAGCGCTGTTCAAACATATGCTTCAGGTTCATATTTGCTCTGATACTCCAGATGTACAACAAATGGATGTTCTCACCCGACCGCTTTGGCTTCCCTTTCCCCCTATTTGTGACCATGCTGCACATGTTTGTTCAGTGGCTATTTGCAGCGCTTCTACGCTTTGTCTGGCCGCATAGGTTTCGATCCGAGTTGTCGCCAACACGAGATGGTTATGTGTGAGTGGGCCTTCCTACCAAATCCACGCTCCAAACTTCAGCACAATCTTCGGAGTGAAACACGTCTGACATGTCGTTTCTGTGCAGACGCAAGGCCATGCCGACAGCGGTCTCAACCGGTCTTGACATAGGGTTGTCTAACCTTTCCTTGCGGACCATCACTCTTTCATTCTACAGTAAGTGGCCTGAGCACATGATGACCTGGACAAAGTTCTGACACTTTTCTAGCAATGTGCAAATCCTCCTCATTGATTTTCGTCCTGGGCTTCGCGTTTCTCTTCCGCCTCGAGTCATTTTCCTGGCGTCTTGTCGGCGTTATACTGCTAATTTGTGCTGGCGTCCTTCTCATGGTCGCTACCGAAACGCACTTCGTCTTGTCTGGATTCATCTTGGTCATCTCGGCCAGCGCTTTAGGCGGCCTTCGATGGAGCCTCACCCAATTGCTCATGCGTGACCGAAAGCTGGGGATCGACTCGCCCGCCGCTACTATCTATTGGCTCGCACCTGTCATGGGCATCACTATCGGAATCGTTAGCATTATACTGGACTCATGGTCCACTTTAATCGGAAGCAAGTTCTTTGACGGCGCGGGTGCGACGTTCCGCACCCTATTTCTTCTCACCCTGCCGGGTGTCGTTGCTTTCGCCATGGTGATGAGCGAGTATACGTTAGTCGAGCTTCTCAGTCACACGTCAAAGTCTGGCTGACGACCCATGGCAGAATCATTCAGAGAACCGGCGTGGTGCCACTGTCGATTGCCGGCATTGCCAAAGAGGTCACCACCATATCTTTGTCGTCCGTGGTGTTCGGCGACGAGCTGACGCCCCTGAATATCACTGGCGTGGCCATCACTGTCTGTGGTAAGTACCTTAATCGAATGCGATCTAGTTCTTTCTGGTGGCGATGCTCCCTTGCGAACTAAAGTTCGAGCCCGTGTATAGAGTCCGGGAGGTCCACGTCATCTCTCCTCCCTGTCCTTTTGTGCTGTCCTTTTCACTGTTTCATAACTCAAACTTTTGCAGGGATTGCGCTATTCACCTATCACAAGTACCGCAAGTCTATCGATTCGCCCATCCCTCTAGACGCCCATGGTCAGCCTATACAGGACGACGACGATCGAGGTATCGCACTCAATGAAGGCGGCTACACCCTCGCCCCGGAAAGCGTTCCGCTAGTTGACGCCGACGAAGATCATGAAGAGCCCGGTCCACTAGCTGCAGCAGTAAGCAACCGTGATTCCGCCCTGACTAGCATCGGAGTGCTTCGGCCTCTCAATCCCTATCTCGATTCATCCTCGCACGTCGAACTCATCACTCGATAGGACTCACCGCCTTTACGCAAAGAACACTCAGTATTGTTCTCAGCCGAAGATGAAACTTGAGAGGATGGGTGCAATTAGCCAGTCCCCGCTGAACCGTCTGCGTTGATGTAAATTATCTTATCGGGAAAACTTACCAGACCATCGCCATCACGTGAGGGATTTGTGAGCGTACGGCACATAAACAATCACCGCATGTTGGGCTCACTCCTGCTGTTCTTCATCAAGTGCTCTCGATTCTTCTTTCCTCGCGCCAATTCCGGCGGTGTGCCGACCGGTGCAGAACTGCAATCGAATGCTTAACACATGTGTGTTTGATCGGCGGCGTCTGATTTGGCAACAGGCATAAAACGGAGATGATCATCCAGGCCAAGCAGAACGTAGCGAAGATGTCACGACAATCGGATGAGTGGTGTTTCGCATGAGTAGAGCAACCTGCCGACGCTGCCGAGTTTGGCCATGCGCTGGCCGCTCACAGGCAGGTCCCCCGCCGCACCCTGTGTCATTAAGCTGCGGGAAAAGTTCGGCGGTGTCAAGAACGCCATGGAGTCGTTCCGTTACGCGCGCCATAGCGAGTGCCAACCCGGCACAGCTTGTGCTTGGTTGGACCTTAACAGTCCCCGACGCTTGGTACCCCACCGGCGAGTGTGGGTGCGATGCAAGCCTTCAGCGCCAGCGTCCTGGTCCCCAGTCAGCGGCCTCCTCGGATACCTCGGTGCTCGCCGACATGATGACAAGGCCCCGATAGACGCGGAGCTCGCTGTGAACGACTGCGAGTGTTATTGTAGGCTGCCAATATCACTTCTATGCGCTATGTGATCCCTGCAACACATGGCTTCGAACAGTACACGGGCCACGGCCGGTATCGGATTCGTTCTTCCCTTGCGCGCGTATCACCGAGCGGCCCCGGGCCCTGGTTTTCAAAGTTCAAGGCATGCGCGCCCAGGACGTATTCTAGGCGTCGCCTTTTCACTACGTTCCGATCTTCAGTTGATCGTGTCACAGTGCACATTCCTGTTGTGAGGTATCTAGGGGATCAAACTCCACCCGTCTGGGACTTCACCAGACTCATTACGCGCCATAAAACGTGGTTCCTGTATCGGCTACTTAAGCAGGCGCTCGACAACAGTTCTCTCTCCGCTAACACCCGTCCGCATCTTACTGAACGACTTCCCCCACACCAAAGGTTCTCTCGAACATCATGGACAACCTTCGTTTCGTCCTCGAATCTCCTCAAGTTGCACAGACGCAGAAGAAGCGGCCGCGACTGGTGACGTCCTGCGACAACTGGTGAGTCTAGCCTGTGAAGTTCCGTGCCCTCACTGAATAGCAAAACTGATGTTATCTTCCAGTCGCCTAAAGAAGATCAAGTGTGTGCCCACTACGGTACAGGGCAAATGTGAAGCCTGTGAGGCAGGCGGTGTCTCCTGCGAGTTCCGCGACAGAGAGCGTTACTTCGCCGAACGCAGTCGTTCCGTCACTGCCGCGGCAGCTGCAAGTTCTGGATCCACGTCGTCCTTATCGACTCAGAGGCGGGGTTCTCGTAGCCCAGCGAATGTTTCTCAGCGCTCAACTTACGGGCGGCGGTCGCCCCGCTCCGTAGCCGATGCTTCTGCGCCCTCTGTCTGGTACCCTTCTACATCCGACCATCAGCAAGGTGCCTTCGCGTCAAGCACGTCCTACCCGTCCATCGCACCGTCCTCATCGCCTCCGTCGGGCGACTGGTTTCTCGGCGACGAAGGCATCAGCGGTTCGAGGTTAGCGGTCATCCTTTGAATCCCCACAATCAGTTTGCTAAACGTAACGGACGGGACAGCTCCGGCTACTTCGGCCAGTCCGCCTATCCCGGGACAAGCTACCCAGCAACTGGCTCGCCTAGCGGACTGAGCGATACGTATTCAACGTACTCGAGCTCGCCATTGAATCCGCCTATGAGTGGCGCGGGGTTGGCGATGCTCTTCGACCCGCGGCGACCACAACATCCGGATCCTGCGCTCATGCCACACTTCCTTGATGTTTTCAGAACCTACTATGGCCCGACGTTTCCCTTTTTGTCTCATGAAGAGATGATCAACAGAGTACGACAGGGGGCATCTTACGGTCTGCTCGAATGTGCGGTCGCTGCTCTCGCGGCGAGGTATGCACATCGTTCGGGATTGAAAGCTTCTCATGCTCAACAGTCCCGCAGGTACTCTAACTCGTCGACTGTTCTTGCATGCGGAGTCTCAGCCGCTATCGAAGCCTATGCCAGCAAGGCGAGGGTGCGTACATTGTCCCTGTCGCATAATGCTCGGTATAATGCTCGGTCTGAACGGTGCCTTCCAGGCGCAGCTACAAGAGAGTTCTCTCCTTCCCTCCGTTTACGTACTGCATGCCACGATCCTCCTTGCCTGGGTGGAATACAAGGCCGGTAACATGGCCGGCCTACAGGAGTACACAACAGCGAGTCTCGCAGTGTCTAGCGCCCTACAGCAGAGTCTTACCTCTGTGCAGATGGCAAACAGGACGGCTCAATCGCATGGCCTTGGGCGTGATTCCTTCTTCCCTGGGGCATCGGAGCAAGAACGCATCATGTACCGCGACACCTGGTCATCCATCATGACCCTTCAACAGCTCAGCGGATCCTCGAGTGAGTAGACCGATCAACCTATGCCACGGTGGTGGCCTAACATTCTGCCAGTCTCGCGCCCATCAAGTGGCATGGTCGCTCCCTTATCGTACATGGAGTCCTCGACGGGAAGGTCAAGCCTCTCACACATGCTATACAACGATCCATCTCGACATCCCTCAGGTGAGTACATGGCGTCGCCTACTCAATCCTCCCAGCTGAATGGTCAGGTTCACAATGACGCTCTAGATGAGGATAAACGTATGACCAACGCCTTCTCTGGTCCTCCTCTGTTAGCAACTTGTAGCCAGGCTTCTTTGACTAGTTATCTCTTCCATGATCTCGCGAGTCCGCTCAACATGACTGCGCTGTCCACAACTCATGACGCTCTATACATTTAACGAACATCTCGCTTAGCAAATTCTCGCTCTGCTCCCATGTATCACGTGCATACTACTTCTTCACGCCCTATATTTATTTGCAACATCTACGCCTTCTCCAACTGCGGCTCCTGAACACGGGAGATATTGCTATCTTTTTTCCATGCAAAGTCAGCTGCCTTGATGATATCTTCCTAAGAGGTCCCATAATCCGGCTGCTATAACCCGCTCAGCTTGACCACGATCGCAGCCGAAACGCCGAGTTGCCAGGGTGCTGTTAGCGGTGATGGATTCTGAGCGCAAACAATACGTTCCAAGGCGGTGCGATCTGCAGTCTCGTTTCTTTACGGCGTAAGGAAAGTGGTGTCATGAGATGCTGAGTTAGAGACCATGAGCCCGTACAGTAGATCAAAGTGGTGATAAGAAAGCAAAGCAACGTCAAGTCCTGCCGCGAAGCAAACCGATACATATATTGACCCAGCCGTCTGCACCGGCCATGCATGCACCCAGCCATGCAAGCTCCGACTCCGCTGGCGCACGTACGCCCTGTACGAGGGCAAATCCTAGGGGTCGCAGTGGCGCACTAGGCGACGGTAATGGGAAAAGAGCCGGAAGATGGAGACCAAGGAAGTCGGCAAGAGTATTGGGTGTACCTGGACTCTGTCAGCGCTGCTATGTGACTCTATCACGACAAAAATAGTACCATCTTCGAGGAGCGGGGGAGCTAGATCCTGTATCACGGGGCCATCCGGTAGGTAGAGTCGTAAGGGTACGCTGCGCACGCTGTAGGCGCCATCACGGTCCGGGGCTCCTTGAGGATCTGCCGACGGCGGCCTCGTATGAAACGAGCCCGGAGGAGAGCTTGGACGTGCCGCTGGTGTAGTTGTCGGAGTCACCTTTGATGCTACTCTCCAGTAATCGTCGAAATTGTCTGTGGCGCCGGGGACTGTCTTAGCATGAATGTAGTGACATAGGGCCGGTATACGCTCACGTTCTTTGATTCCCTCCCAGATCCCATCCTGTTCCGCCTTTCTCAGCCCAGTCATACGCTTCGTACTGCCCCATCGCAAGAAGTCTGCTTCTTTCAATTGACCCATGAACGCTTGCTTGCACGCCTCCGCACTCGGAGCGAGCAAAAGCTTATCCGTGGGCGGCGATGCCAGGTGAAGCACAACCCGCAGAGGCGTACCCTTCTGGGCAGGTACGGGCTTAGTAGACTGGGCGGTGGTATGACTATCATAGATCAATCCTATAGGCCAATGCCTGCCGAAAGCGTCAGAACACTTGGCGCAGGTGCCGAGTTTAACGTCTAACGCGCACCACTTCAGCGGTGACCCTTCTTCACTCTCAAACCACCAGTCTTCGTCATTCATCATTCGCGCCGCTTCTTCATCGAATACAATATCCGAAAGAAAACGCTTCAGCTCTGGTACCAGTAGCGGCAGATATGTGACGCGGGGCGCTTGTACAAAGTACACCTCAAGACCACGATTACTATTGGCGGGAAGCTCCTTCGAGTCCACTCGGATCTCAAGTGGCACAGTTCCTTCCCATACTAGCCGTCTGAAGAGAGTGGTAGACGCTGGAGACGCAAAGGCTGAGGGAGCATGGCGGACGCCAGCATAAGACGACATGCTTGTCGCGTTCAAGCCGCGATTGATCGACACGTGCAACGGGTTTCTTTCGGATCGGGCCGAAGCTTAAAGTTGTGGGTGCGTGATGGTGCTCTGTACTCGGGCGTTTGACTGAGCTCTTCATACACTCCGGTCTACTCGGTACTAGGATAGAGTCGTCATTACATGTTTCGATGTGCGGTACAGTGCAGCAAACATCATTTCAAATAGGGCCACATCCCGGTTCGTGAACCGAGCGCAGAAGGTTGGCACCATACCGCGATATGGCTCCTGCTTGCTACTTAGGATCGAAGAGCTCAAACGAGCGACGACGATCCTACCGAGACTCCGCCCAAGACGGACCAATGATCTTCGTATTCAGCCTAGAACGATCGTGCGTGACAGCTTCAGAGATATGCTGCAATTCAACGAAGTTGAATTCAAGAACTGTTCAAACGAAAGGAAGTTTACGGCGCCTGCGACGAGGCGTAAAAGGTATCGATGCCTTCGGCGTGTTAAGAACCTAGGCCATAGACTCAGTAGAAGGCGGGCACTGTGCCGACGTTAGCCTCAAGAAGGATCTCGAGCGATGTCATGGTGGTAGCTTCAAGGTAGCTCGGAATCCGGATCCGTCAGAGCCACCGGCGTGGTACCAGGGTGGGTACTCTGTTTCACGCAACAGCGCAATCTACCCGTCCAGGCCCGCTGAGTGGGTTTGCCGTCGGCACGCAGTACACGGAGGGCAAGGGGAGCGTAAGAGAACTATACAGGACCTCCTCAATGACAAATCCTCCATGGCTATCTCGACTGCGGCAAGGACACCTGCCGGATAGCGTTATGCTGACGGCGAAGGCGAAAGATGCCACATCACGCAAGTATCTGCAACCCTGAGAAACATCAGCCTCACCTGAAGCGCCCGACACCGGTCTATTCCGTGATGCTCTCACTGATGCCCGTGTGTCCGGTCTTTTTCTCTGTGCCACATCACGTACATTGAGCGATCCGGTAATCATGCTTGAAGCCGAGATGCTATGTCTTGCGATGAGTATTGATGTCGGAAACCCTGCGGCGTTCATCGTAGAGCACCTTTGTTCTCGGCCTAGATAGGTAAGATCGGACTCGCCAACTAGCAGCGAGAGTGAGGAACAGATTTCCGTGGACGGACCGGGGTGCTCGAGTCTCGTACACAGCATTGGACGTCAACTGGCTAATCCTACGAACGTACAGCGCACATCCTTATACATCAGATGACTTTACCGCTATCTCAGAAGCGCTCTGGGGAGAAAGACCAGGATAGCACGCCGTTCATGATCGTAATAGGGCGCCTATGCCGCCCGGCGGGCGATGAAGCACTTCTTCATGGGTCGCGTGTCTTGTGCCAGCGCCTAAACTCGCTTCTCCGCAGCTGTACTTCTTCAAGCCCAATGAAATAATGCAGATACGACAGCAATGACAACATACAGACGCAGACACGATCGGTAAACTTACTTCATACTTAACATCTCGTGCTCGTCTCGCGGAGGGCCGTAACTGACCCCGAGGTCTTTCAATGTGCCGCTCTCGACTTCGAACAGAAGTCCATGAACCCATACCCGACGCGCGCTCTCGGCATCCCAGACCTTGCGAAGGGGTGCCGCTTTGCAGAGGTTCTCGACCTGCTTTCGTACGTTTGCTTCGACGAGAACTGGTAACGCATGTTCGGGGTCGGCGTGCGCTAGATTGAGTTTCGTAGCCATGTCCGTGAGTGGGCCTAGCCATCGGCCGAGAGGTGATTGAGGTGGCGCCGCGGGCTGTGCGTGTTTTGCAGCTTCGTAACAAGCAGCCGCGCCGCCGCACTGAGTATGTCCGACGACGACAACTGCGGGAGAAAATGGGTTGGGATGCAGTCAGAAGCGATAGAATTAGAGGTAATGCACCGTGTTCCACGCCTAATGTGTCGATCGCATACGTCAGAACAGAAAGAGCGCTATCATCGTCGAGGCGGAACTGGCTATACATGTCGTAAGCTGTAAGTCGTACAGCTCAATTATGCTACGTACTTGGCTATATTTCGATGTACGAAGATGTCGCCGGGTTTGGCAGCCGTGATGATAGATTCCGGCACACGCGAGTCTGAACAGCCTATCCAGAGAACCTGTTCCATAGCTTCTATTCAGATTTCGTATGGCTAAATCCGTAAAAGAGGCAAACCTTCGGTGCCTGACCCTTCGCCATCTCCCGAAAGAGTCGCGGCTCGCTTGCTCCTACAGCGCGTGCCCAGTTTGAGTTCTTGTCAATGAGTTTGGCGATAGTCGGGTCGGTGCTATTCAGCACTCTGACGAATTGGCGACGGTGGCTGATCGGAGAAGTTGGCGGTGTTGGCGGAGATGCGGCTTCACGAAGGTGAGCTGGCCGGTAACCTCCAAATATTCTCCAGGGCATGTCTGATGCGGTGTTGTTGCGAGCTTGAGATGAGGGGTGACACGATACGTGGAAGTGCAGGTGGTTGTGAACAAAAAGTGCCAGTTGGGCGCTTGAGTCATCGGGTTTAGCCGTCCGAGGTGACGTAATCCGTCCCTGCCGCGAGTAAGCGCCTCGACCCAACCACGATCACCACACTCAGCAGTCGACGCCGTACTTCGGACGTTTATTACAGCGATTGCGGTTCATGAAGCGACAGAGGCATACATGCATACTCGCCCTGTCATGCACGTCATGGCTGAGCTTGAAGTCATATCTGGTCTTGTCTGGTCCCTTCCGCTTGTCTATCCTCCGAGCACGAGTTGTGTGTGGCGTATTCGATCCGCGGTGCAGTGGCGGGCTGATGGATCCCTTTGACGAGCCGCACATACAGTGCGCAGACTCCTGACGTGCCTTGTGCGAATACAACCGTACCAGGGGCGATTGGCACGCCATTGACCACCGCCTTTGTTCGGTATTGGGCAGTGGTCTGCTTGGGCTTGGTCCACGCAGACCAAGCTTATTGTCGACCATGCGTATAAGAAGGTACAATGCTACGACCCCTTTGTATACCCACCACCATTCTCCTTGTACGGCAGCCATGAGCAACCTCCATCACATCTCCGCTCGTTTTCGCGAGTCTACCTCTCCCGCAGGCTTGCGAGCTCCTTCCGCCGACTTGGACAATCTGATCAAGCTCGAATCCGAAGAGGGAGAAAGAAAGCCGTCGATTGTGGGCGAGGAGGAAGACGTGAAGCCAATGTCGTATCATTCCGCGAGCCAACCATGGTACACGGACGGCCCCAACGAGACCCTACGTATCCCTCCTACCCGTGATGCTACTTTTTATCAGGTACGTTCATAATTGCCCAATTATATCGTGTAATGACTGACGCGACCAACATGTAGCTCGTCATGCCCAAACTACTTGCGCAAAGGCTTTGCGCGGAAGAGCGACCGGGAGTCGAACTCGGTAAAATGCGCGTGTATGCCGCGGGCACGCCTCAGGAAAGAAGTTTTCTCGTCTTTCCTCGTCAAGATGGGAGCGGTAAGGACGACATCTATGAGCTGTCTGCACAGGAAACTGGTACTTCGCACGAGCTCGTCGTCGCAATGCAACCAGCAGCACAAGCAACCGCGCGTGAACGGAAAGCCCCTTCGTCTACCAGTTTCACGCCTACACGCAAGCACGAATCCGAATCAGATGAACATCTTCTCTCGCTTGAAGACGATGGTCCTGAGCACGAGGGGGCGCCCGTATACCACACGCGACTCTCTGGGCCTATCATCGCCCATCTGCACGCCAAAGCAACTTCAGTTGCGGTATCTGGTCGACCCATGAACCCAGAACCAGTACCGAAAAGCAAGTTGTTGAAGAAGCGCACTCTCGCAGTCCCACCAAGTATGCTTCGTCATAGCATGCTCGGACTCCCAGCGGGAAAGCATACTTTGGTGATGCCTACGGGACCTAGTGCTACGGCAGTGAGTGGTGTCCTTACGCGCGCCCCGACTCTACTGACGCATTGCATGCAGAAGTCCGGCCCCAAGGACAAGCGCACGCGTACCCCTCGGAATGTCTTACTAGACATGCTGTTCGAAGCATTCAAAGAGCAATCTCAGATGTCGATGAGAACTCTCCTCGACGTTACGAATCAGCCGGCGAGGTATCTGAAAGAAGTTCTCGCTGTTGTCGCCGTCTGCAAGAATAATATCTGGATGCTCAAAGATGAGTTCGCGCATCAGAGGACCAGAGCAGCCGCTGTGGGCAACCTTCCTGTGAGCCTCTTCGCACATTGATATCATTCACTCAGACTGACATATCCGCTCGCAGACGCCTTCCAACGATGTCGACGAGGAGGAAGATGATGATGATATGGAAGAGGTTGTTTGAACTTGCTATGGTATTCCGGGCAGATACTCTGCGATAGATTGTAACAATTTGGCATCGTGTATAATGCTGTAGATGGTATGAGTAATACAGACTACTTTGGTTCGCTCTTCAAGAGCTCCTTTGCTTCCTTGACAAAGGTATCCAGGACCCGCTTGTCCTCGTTATCTTCGTCGATAGCCTGTTCAACTCGTTCGTATACAGCAGCCATGCCCTTGTGGATCGAGCCCATGGGACCACCGACAAAATCCGAAATCTCATTCATCTCTCCAACCCAACGGTAGGCTTTGGGCATCATACTGGGTATGCCCTTCGCAGCACGCTGTAGGAGAGCTGGTTGCGATGAATGGAGTTCCTTCATGAGAGCAGTCGCGGTCGCAGGAGATGACGCGTGTGCAGCTATTGAACTGCCTCAGAGCCTGTACAGATGGGCGACGAGAGAAAGACCGCTCACAAAGAATCATGGTCGCGATTAGACCTGTGATGCCCTTCGTCATACCCTAAAGAGACATGAGACGCGCAGATACAGAAGATGATGGGATGGTCTCACAGCGTAGGACATCTTGAGGGCAGATGCGTCGCCGATGCCAACCCCTTCGCCAGTGAGCGACGAGATCTTGAGCCCGTATTGGCCCAGACTATTGAAGATCCCCAAGGCACCATCGTCATCCGCAGATGCGTAAAAGGTGGGATCGTAGCCTTCACTAGGCGGTCCGCCGATGATGCCTAGCAGACGTAAGAAGCTGAGATAAGTACCCACGCATTGCATGGGCATCACTGACCAGCATCAACAAAACGGATACCGGACCCTTCGAAGAGGCTCGCAATCTCCTTTACAGTCTTAGGGCTGACTGCGTTACAGTCAACATAGATGGGCCCGCTCTCTGACGACTTGGAGTTGGCTGTCCCAGGCGAGTGCCACGCTTCTAGATAACGCTTGGCGAGCGCCTCTGCATCGCTGGGCGGCAGTATGGAGAGCATGATAGACGCGCGAGGCAGTTCCGCGAACGGTGTATCGCGCATACCAGCATCCTCGGCACGTTTGCGTGTGGCCGGTGAGCGACCGTCGAGATTGGTCAATACGGCGACTCCAGCTGAAGTCAGGCGACGGGCTACACCAGAACCCATCGCACCAGCCGCGATGATAGCGATCGTTGGAGCCGACATGTCGCTATGGTCTATTCGTGTGGAACAAGAGTAGGCGCTTCAAGACTCGAAAGGAAAGTGGTATTAGTCCACAATGGACGCGCGAGATAAGTAGGATCCACGAGGCTACGCACCGACGGACTTCGGACAGCGTCGGCCTGATGCGGATCAATCCACGTTTGCCTTTGACCCGTTCGCCGACGGCGCCACTACTAGTGCTTGCAACCTACATTGATGCTTGCCTCTCAATCCATCTTTCGTACCCTACCTGCATGTTCGGCAGCTGCCAAGCGATCAGGCGTACGATTCATCAGTAGTCAGTCGAGTCTGCTCAGCCTACGGCCTGCAATCCGCTCAGCCCCTTCCCTTTGAGCAGAAAGCGTCCATCCTCCCCTTGCGTTCGCGTTTGACATAGTATGATGAACTACTCTTGAACCTCGGACTGATGCGTTATGCATAGGATGGCGTCCTCATACGCGGCTCCTTGGTGATACCTGAGGCCAAGCGCGCATTGGCTATCTTAGAAGGAGATAACGAGTTCAACAAGTACGCAGTGTGTCCTCGTGCCCTACTCTGTGATGTGTGCTCACGATCTAAAGGAAGATACCTTACGTGCTGGTCTGTTCCCATGTATCTGACGTGACATTGCGCTGGGCTCAAGAGTCGAAATAGATGACCAACGGCGGCGGAGTTGGAGAAGCAGACCGCTGCCGAAGGCTCACCAAGACGCTGGGAGTAGAGGTCAAACGCTCTGCATGTCTTCTTGGCTCATGGCACACTGAAACACATACAGATCAAACCGTCCATGTTGATCCAGGCGCACACGGTACTTCGGGAAAAGGCGACGGCGTACGCTGACCAGAACGTCCTGATCCTCGGCGGAAAGCGAAATCAACTCAGAGAAGTGGCTGAAAGGTATGTAGTACATGATATGTGTCTTTGGTGGCTCTGACCAAGATCGACGACAGTTATGGGTTCAAGAATGTATGGACTCCACTGGACGTCAAGGCTTCGAATCCTCAGTCTGTAGTGCTTCTATCCTGTGAGGACGCGAGAGGCTTACTGGACTGTAGTGTTTGGGGATTCTATGACCTAACACCCGAGGAAGCTGCGTCTTCGAAGGTACGACTGCTTCTTTGCCAACAAGGATTATCTGACTACCAATGTTCGATAGACATTCGACTTCGCCCAAACACCTATCAGTGCAGCGTTCGTTTTCCACGACCCTCGCAACTGGGCTCTGGACATCCAAATACTCCTAGATGTTATCCTGTCGGGAGGGTACATCGGTAAACCATGGTCACATAGTTCAAATCCGCAAACTTCACCCGTCGACCTCGTCTTCTGTAACCCCGATCTCATCTGGAAATCCGACTTCCCTGTACCTCGTCTGGGTCAAGGTGCCTTCAGAGAGGCATTTCAGTCCGTCTTCAAGGTCGCGATGACATCTTTTGCCAACACTATTGTTGTAACACTGACTGTGCTCATACTGCAGGCCGTGACCGGTGAAGAGTACCGATACACCCAGTACGGGAAACCGACGAAACCGTCCTATGACTTTGCGCGCAAGATGCTCGAAGACCGTCTGCGAGCGCTTGGGGCACATCAGACCGCAGACAAGGGTTTCGCGGCGTGAGTGGCCTTTGATCGTGAGAGTGTGGGACAATGTACTGACTACATCACTCTTTCAGATACATGATTGGCGGTGAGATTGTTGAATCATCACAACCGCGATAGACTATTGACATTCTTTCGTTCTTGTCTTGTCCCGATCACAGACAATCCGGAGTCCGGTTCGCAGCACTCTTGGTATTCGGCGTGTTCTTGCGCTGATGACTCTTTGATGCAGACATCGCGGGCGCGAACGGCGCTGGCTGGGGTTCTGTCCTCGTGCGCACTGGTGTTTACGAAGATGCTCAGGGTCCACCAGCCCACCAACCGACACACATTGCTGATAATGTTCTGGATGCAGTACAATGGGCAATGATGAAAGAGTTTGGCCGATAGCAACACCTACGATATTAAGCGGTCCCCATGTGTTTTTACGAATATAGGCTTCCTTTCATGCCCCTTGTGTTCGAACCACAACCATATCAACAAACGTGCCTACAATGCGGCTCATTGTCGCCACCCAAAAGACAATGGGAATAAGATGAATCCGGAATAACCACAGAAGCGTAATCTTCGGACCGCTCCCCTTATATATACAGACGTTGGATGTCCGTCTCTCTCAGCTCCGCCATCGTCCTTTCATCCTACCCCGACTCTTCTTGCCCTCCTACTCCGCTCTACAACATGCCGATCCCGCTTGCGCCGTTCCCAGTGACGAACGCAGACTTGATGACTCTTGAGTACGGTTGCACCCTCCTGTACTTGAGCTTTGCACTCTAACCGGTGCCTACAGTGCGCGTGTTGCCCTACCCATCGAGATGTCCTTCATGAAGAACGTCCTGTTGTGTGGCATCAACAATGTCGCGACGCGTGCACCCAAGATCAAGGCTACAGACGCTGCAGTATTCTCCTCCTACGTGTCTCACATGCTGGATATCATCCTCATACACATCCGAGGCGAGTTGCATCCTCGCCATATGCCTGCAATCACGCTGAACGGGATTCAGTGAACAAGCACTTCTTCACCACGCCCCTCGAAAACGGCCTAGTCCTTACCAGTGTCCTCGGGCCGGGCTGCACGCCGGACTCGACTAGCGTCTGCGACAAGATCACGCGTGCGCGGGACTCGCTCAAAGGGGCTTTTGACGGCAAGGCACTTGTCGGGCAGCTCAACACGTTCGCAGACGAGTTGCGGGCCCTGTGGCACGGCCAACTCGCGGCCATCACTGGCAATGTCAAGGCTCTCTCCGCGAAGCAGACTGATACTGAAGTTCGCGCCGCGACACGTAGTGAGTATTGTGGTGCGCTCAGGTTGACCATGCTGATTCCTGTATAGACGCTGTCATGTACTTCGCGTCGCAAAGCGACCCGGCGTTCCTTGTCCCCTTCATTCTTTCCCACCACGACCGCGCGACTTCGAAGTTCTGGCCACCGACGACGCCTGAGGGCTGGGCAGCGCTCCCGGCCTTGATGAAGGTGCACGCGGACTTCTGGAATTTTGTCCCATTCGATCCAACCACTGGCGCGAAGAGGCCTTAGGCCTTGAGCCACCGCTTGGCGCCAATTAACTGCCGTCCTGCATCTGCCATCCCACTCTTGCCATCTTTAGACCGTTGTATCCTCTTTCAATGTTTCCTTAGCATACCTCTCGTCCGGTCTTGTCGTCATCCTATACCCGCAAACCTCATTCACACGTGTCTTGTTGTACTCCGCATATCGAATATCATTGCTTCGACTTTCTTTCACGAGAGCGGTGCATTCACACCTGGAGCATGAGAGCATCGACGTGATGCATGTATAGTTATAACATGGCCCAAGGTAACGGGCCAGGGTATACAGAGGTGCCGTCGCTCGGGCACCACTCGATGAGCTTGGCGATTTCAGGAGCCGACGCGTGATATGGGTGTGCCCGGAGATGTGGATTGCGCGAAAGTCGCTTTGCCGTGAGTGGTCCCCAGCATCCATACAGATCCGTCGTAAACGGTCGAAAGGAGTTCTCCAGCTATTATTCACAATCAGCAAATAGAGCTTCGCGACATATGACCGCAGATCGACCGCACCTCTCCCTGAGCAGCTTGAGCTTCGTCTGCCTTATCGTCGAGTTCCACACCAATGTACGCTAGCCTATTCACAGGCCAACGCAGTGCGCGTGCATGAAGCTCTTCGAAGCGTTGGCCCTTGAACGCATATCCTACGACGGTTATGTTCGTGGGATAGTGGCCGGTATACTCGCGGAAGCGCGCGATTGAGAAGAGCAAGTTTTGGAAGGAATCGAGCGCGAATAGTTCGGTAGTGCTTTCAACCGGTAGACCCATGAATGTATAGATCGAGACCGGGTCGGCTACTAGTCCCCCAATCTGAGCGAGGCGAGCGTAAGACTGGGCTTCTGTGATTGAAGCGGAGGATGTCTGACCCCTAGAGCATGGTTTGTCAGTAATTCGTGACTTGAATTTGGCTTACAACGTACCCGCTGAAGACGAGAAGGGCCCTTGGGTCCTTATTGGCGATGTTGACTCTGTCCATTCGTCAGAGCGCGAGTAAGCCTTCATTGCCGATGAACTGACGCGCGACGAATATGTTCAAAGAACACGGCCGGTCGGCCGCGGTTACGCTGGTACTCCGCCAACAGCCAGTACTTCTCATCCAAAATATCCTCCTCCTCGGCTCCAGTCCATATGCCATGACCGGGCACAATGACCAAGTGATCCATCAGCCGTCGTTGCACAGGTCGTTCGAGTGTAGCGGCGATACTAGGCGGCAAGTTCCCACTGATCCGCGGCCATGCCCCGCCACCAGATCCCACGTTGCTACCTGCCCATAGATGTAGGTTGAGATACACAGATACAAGAGTTACGCAGATTAAGGCGAGAGCGGCGAAGTTGGTGATTCGCGCAGGAGCTCTGAGTAACTCGCGCAGAGGAACAGCAGTGGAGCTTGTTGGTCCAGGTACGGTGAGGAGACCACGCGTGCGGCCCGTACGGAAGGAGACGGGGGCTGGGAGCATAGAGTGACCGGCACAGCAGAAGCTTATACTTGGGCAGGCATAGTTTGCCGGAGCTAATGGCCGTAAGAAGCAAACAACTGGACAAGCTTCAGGCGACGCGTCGGACGCGATTTCGCTCTCACCGCCATCATCCCTCTGCTCGAGGTTGGCCATTTGGAACCTGTATCGAATTATCTTTGTCTGGGAATACTCGCTCGGTAGCTATAATGTATGGCTTTCATACACATCAGCTTATCTCGTCTTCCTTAAAGCTGTTGTGAGAATTACACCGTTTTTTCGCTCAGCATTCCGTGCAGCATGAACGCCTCGTGTTGGCGCCCAGCAGATCGTGTCGACAGAGCTCTTCCGACGCGCACAGACGCGAACTTGCCGTCCTGCTCACTCCGTTCTGTGGATGATCCAGATACCCGACACAGGACGCGGTCGCCTTCCGACACCAACAGCCGGATCATTTTGTCTCCTGTCTCAGCTCGCAACGCTTCCTATATAGAAGTGCACTGTAAAGCCCGTTACTGATATATTTACCTCTCCAGCTAATAACTCATACGCCACACTAGTCTACGCAAACGAGCCTCCACTCAAACATGGAACCCATGCCAACTACCTCTCTTGCGCAACCCTTGCCAATCCCACTTGCGCACCCTTTACTAGGCAGCACCTTGCCTCTCGACCAATTGTATCTGGGATCATACATCGGCTCTGGAGGATTCAGTGTCGTATTTCGCGGAGTACAAGTCCACACAGGACAGGAGTACGCAGTCAAAGCGATACCCTTCGCTCCAACTGGAACACCTCTCAACGCCCAGCAAAAGGCCGAGGCGTGCCTGCACTCGCGAGCAAGTGAACATCCGAACGTTGTCAGGCTGCACAAGTATTTCCTCCATCAACATGCCGGCGCAGAGTACCTGATCCTTGTCATGGATCTCGTCCACGGAGGAGATCTTCATGCAATGATTTCCGCGGGGCGACTGGCTCATAGACCTCAACACCTGCGACATCTCTTCGGCCAGATTTTGGATGCAGTTACTCACTGCCATGAAAAGGGCATCTACCATCGTGATCTGTCAGCAGAGAATTTCTTATGCACACAGGATCTCGCGAAGATCTACCTCACCGACTTCGGGATGGCGGCAGTGGAGCCTTATTACCAACATGTCGGACTAGGCAGCATGGCCTACATGAGTCCCGGTACGTATTATTCTTGGTCTCCCGTGTACAATGCCGATGCTGAGTGATCCCCAAGAAATTCACCGCTCTGCTGATCCTACGGCATCGATACACGCACCTTCGACCGATGTATGGGCTCTCGGCGTTCTTCTCGTCATGCTCCTCACAGGGTCCGCGCCATGGCGATGTGCAACGATAGGCGATCCAGACTTTACTCTCTTTGCGACGGACCCGTCTGCGCTATTCGTCCGTCACCGAATGCCGTTACCCGTCGAAATGTTGATTCGGCGCGCTCTGGCTTGCAACCCAGGGGAGCGAATATCTCTCAGCGAGTTTCGGGCTGCGTTCTTCCTTCTCGACAACGAAGACCTGATGCTACCCCGAGGGCCGAGCGAGGTTCCCTTGGCTCCTGCCATACGTTTGTGGCGTGCATCACCTGGACTGATATCAGACTCTGGCTCTGCGGACAGCTCCGAATCTGCCACCATCGACACGCCTAGTGGGTATTCGTCACAGAACTCCTCGGTCATGCTTTACAAGCTCTCGGATTTCTGATTAGCACGAAGGAGCGGACTTCGTAGCTTCGAGATACGAGGTCTGGAGATGCCTTCGCGTGTTCGCCGAAGGATGTGAATTTCACCGATACCTCTTTTCTTGCAGCCCATATACCCTCCGTCGACCGATCAGACGGTTTATCCGTATTATTCATGTCACGATGTTCTGCTGCAGAATGTTACAATGCTATTTGTACATGACGAATGCCCGAGTGTGATGAGAACAGCCAGATCCTAAGGAATATCGTAACGGAGACTACAGAATTGAGTAAAGTAAGGTGAGCCCTCTATGCCTGTCCGATGGCGTTACTGATATGCTCGACACAAGGTACGTCAACCTGCAACCGCACAAGCAGCGACTCCAGCACATGGCCGTCCATCTCGCCTTCGACGCGAACACGTTTCACCGGATACCCCGCCTCAGCGCGCGCCTCGACCGCGCGCAGTACTCGGACCTCTTCGGCCTGGGCTCGAGCGCGTCGGGCAGCCTGAAGGCCGGGGATAACCTCACCGACGTTCACCGCAAGATACGCCAGCCTTGGCAAGAATACTTCGGGTTCGGCGTCGGCCAGTGTGCCCATCAATTCTTCGGTGGGCGCGCATGCCAAAGAGCGCAGCGAGTCGAAGGAGGAAAGGCACTCCGACCACTCGGTCGAAGAAGGCTCCGCGCTCGCTCGGGGCAGGAGCTCGAGGGCGCGGACTTGTCGCGCGTGGGCGCGGAGGTCGCGCACCGAGCCCCGCAGCAGGCGGCGGAAGACTGTCCCCGGCTCTCCGTCCGCAAACTGGTCCCACGCCCGTCCAGCGAAGGTCGCGACGAGCCCGGGTCCCACGGGCCGAGTCTGCCATTGTATACCGCCCAGCGGCGGGCTTGTGGCGTGTGCGGCGTGAGTTGGCGTCTCGGGAGGGATGGGTAAGAACTTGAGCTTCAGGAAGTAGTCGGCGTGCGATAAGGACAGCGCAGTATTCTGGCCGTACGCGAGAATACGGCGGAACTGGTGCGAGAGGCCTTCGAGGGCGGCAGTCCCTCCTAGAGAATCGTCGACGAGCTCCGCCTCGAAGTGCAGCTCCGGAGAACCGACGATAAGGCCTGCGAGCGCGAACACGAGCTGAGCTTCGTCTTTGACAGCAAGGTGCGTGAGATGCGGCAACACGATGCGCGGCGCCGTCGCGAGCGACTCGTCCAATAGGCCATCGCTCAATGTATGGGACAGTTCCACGCTTCGCAGCTGTGGCGAAGCGCGCAAGCCGGCAAGAAGAGTTGCCGCCGGTAGGCGCGCGTCTGGTTTGGGCTGCCAGGAGAGTTTAAGGTGTGTGAGCGAAGGTAGCTCAAACGGGAAGAAGGTATTGATGAGGGTGAGGTGTTGTAGGCGCGGGGCGGACATCGGCGGCTGACTGCTCGCACCGCTGTTGAACAGCAGAGCGCCGTTCAGCGGCTCATAGACGATTTTCGCATGCGTGAGCTGCGGTACGGGTTCGGTGCATAGGCTGCGCACGACGTCGGTGAATGCGTCGAGAGTTAAGGCGGAGCGCTGGGTCGAGAGGTCCAGGGTCGCCGTGCGAGGTAAAACCTCATGCAGGAGCTCGAAAGATTGCGGGCGCAGATAGAGCCTGTCCATGCGAAGCGGTGCCGCTCTCGTACGCTCGAGGATGGCATGTACGGCAACGGGTTGAGGGAAAGTGAACACATGGCGCGACCAGAGGGACGGCAGCGACAGGAGGATCCGTCTCCACTGACGGCAGATATGCGAGGCCTTTATGAAGCCAAGATCCAAGTGGGTGCCCTCGTAGTCCTTGCGCATGACCCTCGGCGGGTCGCATTCGGCCAGGTGCTCGAAAACGACGGCGAGGACGTCGTCGTTGAGTCTGGAGGCTATGCCGAGCTGTCAGTCTCCTACCGTAATATAATGGGGCAATCGCAGACTGACTGCACGTCGATTAGCATGTACTCGAGGGTGACGGTCAGAATATGCACACCCTGTCATCGAGTGTGTAGGTATACGTGTAGATTGAACGTGGATAACAGAAGCGTCAGAGCTGGCGTTATCGGGTAGCAGGAGGATCCCTGCAGTACGAGTGGAGATAGCGAAGAGATGCTCTTGCTCAAAGCGGCCATGCTTCTTATATATCACCTCGCATTAGGCTCGCGGCGTGCGCTGAGTGGCTCGGAGTGTGGGGTGGGAGTCCGGGCAGGGGCGCCAAACTACGTAGGCGCCTCGGCATTCGATTTCTTCATTGTCGGTACCTTCGGGATATCACGTGTCCGATTAAACTAGGTCCCATACTTGGCTACTCGGCCTTTCTCCGCTCCTCATTCAGCGCTCAGAGTGGCCCGAACTTGTTAGCACGAGGCTCACTCACTGCTCCCCGACCCCCATGGATCCCGAGCGCGTTCGCCCGCGGATTCAACAAAACATGACGTAGGCGCCGCCGAGACAGGTACTGTGCTTTCGACGCATCTTATGCGCACACTCGCTACGCACTGGCGTCTACGTTCTTTCACCCACAGCGAGCGGTGATTCTGCACAGTGGACCGCGCGTCGCCGAGCGCTTAGCGATAAGCATCGTGCGATGGGGCGACATGGAGGCGAGAAGCAATGTAGAGTAGTCGCCGACAATTCAACTTCTTCCAACCGAACAAGCTTTTACGATTGGGCAAACGTAACGCGACCGACAACCCTGTCCAATTGTCGAGTGCTGGTTCCTGTTCGGGAATCGCCGCCTAGGCGCTCTACGAAGCGCCCGAACAACTCACGTCTACTGCGATGGTCGCCGAATCACAGAAGATGTAAGATCGGGCCTGCGAGAACAGTTGGCAGGCAAGGCATCGCGCCCGCTCACGAGCGTAGCCGAGCAATGAAATACAGTCGCCGTCAACGCAGTACGCCGCCGCCGCCGCCAGCTATGACGATGAGTAGCGAAGCGGGTAAGACGGGGACCAATCTGGGTTGAATGAGTAACTGGGCTTATGGGCGCGGGTGACGCCGAGTATGAACAACGCAGTAAGCGGTAAGCAGAGCGCACAGGCAAATTCAGGCGACGACGGAGCGTTCGCTCCTGAGCGTCTCTGTTAACCGCCTACTACTTTCCGAAGAAGTTCTTCTCCCTTGCCCTCACCGTTTCATCACACTTGAAGCTATGTACCAATTGGCTACCAGGCTGAACAGTCGACCGAGACCGAGATGGACAAGTAACATCACACTACTGATTAGATATCAGGACGGCCAGACCAGTACATGGATCACAGGTCCGGGAATCAAAGCCCCTGCGAGGGGCTGCCACCATCTGCCATGTCAATGATTGCAGGCCGGGCTCTCGGGAGTGACTGCCGGAGGAGCCCGAGTCTTCCCTCGGAGGAGGCTGAGGGTTACAAGGTCATGACGAGTCGAAGCTGAATGAAATCGTTGAAGAATACACGTCCACGATCGAGACCGGGGAAGACGGGACGAAGCACGCGCTGTACGACTCGGACGAAGCGAACCTCCCCACCATGTAGCCCGCAACGCCCCAACGTCTCGATCATGCTTCCAGTGTTCTCAAGCCCCTGTGGAGATCGAAAGTGTATACGGGACAATGCGCGAGCAGTAAGAAATTCAGGCGCTTGCAGGTTGTCAACATCCCGTCATGTCAGGCGAGGCCGGGCTCCTTGACGGCCAATAACTGATCGCCTGAGTTCAACGCATACGGCCTCTCGTTCCTCGGAGGTAGATGTTGTACATCGGAGTGGAAGGGTTTCACGAGCATATGTAGTAAGACGAACCCGATTCGCATGCGTGGCATGCGTCCGCGGTCTTGAATACCGGAGGAGACGGGGCGAAGCCTGCATGCGACAACCCCAATGTTCCAATTCAATCATGCTTTACAGCGTTCTCAGGTGCTTGTGTACGTCGCACTGAAGGACACGACTGAGAGTCTGAGATGAATCAGCGTACCTCGAGAGTGTGTAAGGCGCTTGTATATAGTTCGTCATCATCCTGCCATGGTCGAGACTCGAGGCTCGACGGCCAACCACGACCGCGACTGAGGACCGGGTTTCAACGGCGACCTCTTCTCGGTCTTCGGAGGCGAGTACACCTCAAGGCAAAAGGGCTGTACGCCGAACCTGAATTGTATGCATGGTACTCATCCACAATCATGACCGGAGGTGCGGGACGAACAAGCGTTCACTTTGGCATCACAACATTCTCACGCTCTCGACAAACTTGAGATGAATCAGCATTTTTGTACGCGGGTACCGCCGAGCAAGAATCAAACAAGTATACTTCAGACACATCAACCGAGTCAGTCAGATGAGCCAAACCTGAGTGAGATTATTTGAAGAATACACGAGACCGGGGGAGGTGGGATGAAGCACACGCTCAGCAGCCTATCCAGCAACATCTCAACTGAATCATGCTGCCCGGCGTTCTCAGGTCTCTGTGTAGAGCTGAGGACCGGGTTTCAACGGCGACTGACTCTCGGAGAAGTCCAAGGGCTGCACGATCACAGCGAGCCGAACCTGAACCGCAGGCGTAGTATACCTCCACGATCGAGACCGGAGATGCGGGACGAAACGCATGGCGCCTGCGACAAGCGTTCACTTCAGCAACTCAACATTTGACGTTCCCAGACCTCTGCAAAGCCCGTCGACACGAAAGCATATACTTCAGATGAATCAGCAATTCTTGTACACGGGTAACGCCGAGCAGAGAGCAAAACAAATACACAACCATTCACATCAATCCCAATCCCTTCAACCCTCCAAGCCCTAAATCTTCAGCTTCTCCTCAAAAAACCCCAACAGCCCATGCGCCTCCGCATCCTCCTCGTCCAGCCCCCCCACGCTCCCCCCTCCCCTCCTCATGCTCATCTTCATACTCGTATCCGCATACCACCCGCTCAGCCGAATCCGCATCAGCTCGTCCCACACGACCGTCGGGCTCCCCTCGCTCCGCCGCAAGAACGCGCGGATGTGCTGCAGCCAGTTCTTGATCAGACTAAACTGCGCGCTCGACGCGTCGGTCTGTTTTCGCCGCACCCCACCGGAGGAAGAGGAGGAGGAGGAGGGGGGCGAGGTATAGTGCGGGCCCGCGTACAGCCACAGGTGGTCGTTCTTCCCCAGCACGCTCTCGCCTGCTCTAGCGATCTGGGGACTATCGAAGATCGACGGCGGCGTCTGCCCGCTCGAGCTCTGCGTCGAGCTCGTGCCCGCAAAGCTATCGAACGGCGAGTACGGCGAGCTCAGGTCCGTCGTGGATGGGCTAGACGTCGCCTGTCTTGACCCAGGTTTCTCTGGGGCTCCTGGGGGAGGCTCGAGCGCGAACGGCGGCAGCCCCTCCTGGAACGCGAGCAGCAACAGCTGGCCCAGCCAGTAAAACGGCAGCGGGTCCGCGCTGTACGTCGCGTGTTTCTGCTCCGGCTGCGGCAGCGCGCCGTTCGCCGCGGGCGCGCGGGGGGCCTCGGGGTTGAGCAGCCAGAGCTTGAGCCACTTGTGCAGCGCGAGCTGCATCGCGAAGAGCTGCGGGCTCACTTCCTCTTCACCCTCATCTGTAAAGGAGGAGGAGGGTGTGGGGGGTTTGGGCCGGTTCGCGGGCGAGTCGGCCGCGGTGCAGCGCCGGAAGAGTTCGCCGAGCAGGCCGTGGAGCAGTATAAAGTGCCCAAAGGGCGGGATCGCGGGGATCGCGGACAGCGCGTCGGTGACCCCATCGGGGAGCTGCCCGCCCTCGAGCCCCATCGCCGCGAACCCGTGCAGCATCGGTACCCCCAAAAGTCGTTGGGATATGGTGCCGTACGGCGACTCGGCGAGGAGCGCCTGGGACCACGCGAACGCGTCGGGCGCCTCCCAGAGCGACTCTTCGCAGGGGAGGCGCAGGGATACTTCGTCGGGCGCGAAGGAGGCGGGGAGCGCGAAGAAGATGCGGTGCGATTGGTCGTGCGTGTAGGCGAGGAAGCAGCAGCTGGAGGGGAAGGAGCGGTGTGAGCGGATTGAGGGGTCGAAGGAGAGGACAGGGGACGTACCGCTTGATCGCTTCGTGCACCGTCCAGTCGCGCCAGGCGAGGTCGAGCGCGTCGACGTCCGGGATCGGGAACTGGGGCGCGCGCCACATCGAGCTGCGCTCGAGGATGCGATTTTGTCGGATCATCTGGGGCAGACAAAGTCAATACTGTGATAGATATATGATATGAGGGAGGGAGAACGTACTAGTACGAGCATGCCGTGGTAGATGTTCGACGAGGCGCGCAATTGCGGGTTCTGGTGGAAGAGCCCGATGGTCTGTAGGAGGATGAGCGTCATGATGATGTGCATCTGGTGCTTTGGGTTCTCCGACGGCCGTGACTGCAAACACCACATATCAGCATACATAGAACGTAAAAAGCAGAGAAAGAAAAAGCATACGAATTCAATGACGAGCGTCTCCCGCGAACTCTCCAGCGTCCTCTGCACAAACGCGTCCGCGACCCTCGTCTTCGCAAACAGCGCCCCGCACGCCTGCATCGTCTTCAACAGAATCGGCGGCTTCAGGTCCACGCGCAGCGTCGGCAGATGTATAACGGGGATCTGCGGCAAAAACGCCGTCAGGAATATGTGCAGGTAATGCTGCAGCTCCTCCGGCGACGGGTGTGGGATCGCCTCGTCGCCTAGAAGTGGGGGCGGGGGCCGGAGCACGGAGTTGAGCTCGTCTTGGGTGTAGGTTGCGCGGACGGTGCCCGGGAGGATGTTCTCGATCTCGGAGTGCAGGCTGTAGCGCTGCGGGCACTTGTGCGGCGCCTCCATGAGCGGGTCGGGCTCGGGCTCGGGGTAGGTGGTGTTCATCATGTCGTTCAGCAGCTGCTGATCGAACCCTTGGCTCGCGTCCTGCGCGTCGCCCTGTGCAGCTTGCCCGTTGAAATCTTGCATGCCCTCCAGACCGTTGAATAGCCCCTGGAGCGACCCTTGCTCGTTCATCGTCATGTCCGTCGGGGGCGCGACGAACGGCGGCGCCGAGCCGGCCGGCATGGACGCCATGCTGCTATCGGGCTGCATCGACGACCCGTCGCGGTGGAAGACGTCGCGGAAGAAGGGCTCGAACATGTTGCTCGAGAACGAGCCGAGGCCCGCGGGGTTCGTCGGCGCGGCGATATCGGACGGCACGAAGGACGTGAACGCGCGATTGTCGAACGCGGCGAAGGACGGCATCGAGTTGACGGTGCTCGCGGCGTCGTTGATCGTCGGCAGCGACATCGCGCCTCCCCCACGCGGGCCGAGGTCGGCGTGCAGCCCGAGGAAGGACGCGAGGTTGGACTCTGAGAGCTGCGGGCCGAACGCGCTGCTGGACTCTTCGATCAAACTCAGCTCGGGGAAGGCCGAGTTGTGCATGTCGCCGGAGAGGGAGAGCTGGGAGGGCACGAAGCCCGCGCTCGAGTCGAGGTTCGCGATGCCGGGCGGGCCCATGCTGCGCGAGGGCCCCGGCGCGGCGGCGTCGTCGGGGTTCTCGAGCGGGTAGACGCACTCGCGCGAGCGCGCTTTGCATTTCGAGCACGGCGCGCGCAGGTCGCATTTCACTTTCAGCGCCGCGCACGCCTGGCACGACCGTCGGCGCGACCGGCTCGTGTGTCCGTTCGAGCTGCGGGGGGATCTGGTCAGTAGGGCTCCGAGCGATAAGGACGGCGAGGGGCTGGATGGGGAGGACGATGACAAAGGGACTCACGAATCGCCACAGCTCTTTTTATGCCTGGCCAGGAGATCGCTACGCGTGAACTGCGATCCGCATGCCTATTCGACTCCATCCATGAGTATTACACCTTCTCCTGTGTATCATACACACACACCTCGCACTTGTACAGCCTCTCGTTCGTATCTGCCACAGATTGAGTACGGGCGATAGAGAGAGATCGAGCGAGGACGCACGGTTGCGCAAATGCCTGTTCAGATGCGTCGTCCTGGTGAACTTCGCGACGCAGAACGGGCACTGCTTCGTCTGCGGCAGTTGGGGCACGTTCCCCTTGTGCGCCCGCATCCGCGACACCGTCCCGTCCTTCTTGTACTCCACTACCCTCCCCCCATTATTGCTCTTGTCTCCAGATCCAGACCCGGATGCTGTGTTGTCGGCCATAGTGATGTTGTATGTTTGGGAGTAGGTGCAGATGCGAGGTGGTGGTTGGGAACAAAGGAGAGGAGGATGCGACAAGTACTTCCGCACTGTGTGATGCCGCGTTGACGCACTCACTTTGCCGACCCTCATTTGATCTCGCAGACTAGCGCCCCCTCTTGGCGCCTGGGAGTCTGGAATTCCGCCTTCCGCTCCTTTCTCGATTCTTCGCTCACCCTTCCTCGTTCTCGCCTTTGTATGAAAGCTCTCTATGCTGCTACGATAGCTATACAGATGGAATAGGACGAAGCCTGGAGCACAGCGCACGCTGGCAATCGCTGAGGCAATTACGCACACCAGTCGCTGACCAGACTCTCATTAGTCGAGTCACAGCCCCGGTCAGTCCGGTCTCGCGCGGTGGATCCGGTACCGAGACGCTCTTATGTAGTCCCACCCCAACTATCGACTCGACTGGGAGCGAGCACTCGAGTATAGCGCGCAGTAAACGCTTCAGCGACCCTATACGGGGCTGCGGTAGGCGTATGCTTGTAAAGCATCGCGTCTACTGGCTCGAGGCGCGCACATACCCTCGGGCTTGCCTCGGGCCCAGCGGTGCATCGAAATATCGTAGCTTGAAATTGCTGCGTAGATCTATGCAATTCATGATGCATGATGCCTCCTTGCAGAGGCTCTACCACGAGCTCTCCCTACGCTACGAAGACCGGAATCCAGCCGTCAAGAGGTTGAGCGCTGAAGTTAGCCTGTAAGGTAACGATATCGCGGCCGCCGAAGAACCAGCGAGCGAGCGAGCGAGCGCTCGAGCTTGCGCCTCGTCGGATGTACCGACCATCGCACGACCATCGATACCGTACGACTTCTGCCTCTACTTCGCAACCTGTAGACGATCTGGGAGGCGTAGCGCCTCTCGAGAAGATACTGTATCCTGATTTCGGATGTCCGGGTCTCTTCTGATCTTTGGCCTCGAGGATGAAGTACAATTCAATAGCTACGAACTTCTATCAGGCTGATCAGCGACCGTGTGCGCGTCGAAGAAAGGAGTCGAAGAAAGGAAGAGAGACAAGATCCGGCGCAGTTCATTGAGTAGCGCTGTGATCTGCAGGCGAAGGTCCAGTGCGATATAAGCGGACGATGCGGGGTGTCGCTTTGTAGAGATCTTTGTGGGTGAAGCGTGACGACTGAGTGTCGCGTACGGGTCAGCCGTCGGCCTCGTCCTGCGAGCATTGGGTGTCCACTCGACCGTCATTGCCTACTTTCATGATCTGTGCGAGTCTTTGAACCTACGTCCAGGGTGAAGCCAACAGCGCCAACACCATCCATCGAGCTTGCACATCTTCCGCAAGCAAGCAGACGCAGATCCCCCGCGTATATTCCGCAAACGGAACGCACCGGAGTACAATACGCCACTTTTGCGGCCCTGTAGCATAGTACTCAAAAGTACCTGGCCAAACAAGCGCAGTCACGAACCCTAGAAGACGAGCGTCAGTCGGAGTCTCAAATACGGAAAGAGTCTTTCCGCTTGAGTTCGCCACAATCAACGCACTCAAACGCGTACTCCTCAAGCTCAAGCTCAACGGACTCAAGAGAGAGCCGATGCAATGTAAAGTGACCATTCTTGAGAGGTGGTTTGATTCACAGGTCAGTGTACGGGAGCTCGGTTGAGCTGAGACGGCGCGGGCTGCAGGGGATGATGGTGGCTGAAGCGCCAGGGTTTGACCGGCCATCGTACGGCGAAGGGTGACAGGAATAGCCTCGACAAGACGACCGAGCCAAAGGCGCACAGAGACATGCAAGAGGAGCGATCCTCGTACCGCACCCTTGGGCGCGTGAGCGCGGTAGCGTCTCGACACCCGGAGCGCGTCACCCGCGGTGTCCTCGGCCAACCGTTCATTCTGCAACCCAAGCAGTGCAACCCGGTCATCAAGGACATCTCATTGAATGCCACGAAGGGTCCAAGACCTCGCCGTGACGCCCAAATGCTCGTCACTGCCGAGTCTAACAAGCGCATCTCGGTCAAGCAATGCACAGAGAAAATAGACATTCGCCGCCGGTGGCGTTGCGCGGCCCGCGAAACGCGAAGAGCTTATACCGGTCTGCATCAATGCGGGATGACGAGGGCAATCCTGGGACAGCGCACGTATCCGGGAAGGGCATTGCCCGGAAGGCAAGGGCGAATGGCCCGAAGTTCGCGCCGCCGGTGGCTCGTGGGCGCTCGTTGGGTGCGCCACACGGTCTTTCCGGTACGACGCCGTCCGAAAGACAGAAAGCAGGCGCCGAGTGGCACAGTGATGACGACGGAACATCCATTGATTATATTCGCAAAGCATACGCTATGTGCTGCCCGCACTCTCGAACGACGAGCGGACCTGCTCGTACACCCTCCTCTCCCACGTAACGAGATTGACCCTCCTGGCAACTTCTATCCTGAGCTCGTCCGTCGAGTTCAAGAGCGTGTGCAAGTACGCGAACGCTAGCGCGTCGAGGGCCGTCGGTTCACTATACAAAAGCCATAAGTTGATGAAAGAGCAATGAAGGAGAGTACGAAGACGTACGCAGAGCCCAAGAACCACCTATCCGTCCCCAACCTCTCGCTCAGCGCCGCAACAGCCTCATGATACCTCGCATGAACAGCCCCAACCGGCACCCTCCTCCCAAACGGCTGCACCACGCTCAACAGCCCCGACAGCGGCGCCGGCGGCGGACTGAGCACCTTCTCCGCGCCCTGCGGCTCGTGCGCGAACGGCACCTGCAGGAGCGTGTGCAGGAGGAATGACGGGGAAGGTTGCGCGAGTGTGAGCGCTGCGTGGACGTCGCCCTCGAGCAGCGCGATCCAGGCTCGGCTCTCGTCGCGCGCAGAGGCGTCTGTGTATCCCTCGAACTCGCCTAGCTCGCCCTTGGCGTTTTCGATTGTCCATCCCGGGATGTTATGCGCGGCCAGTAGTTCGCCGTCTCCGTCTTTCGCGAGCGTGCTGGGTACGGCGAGACACGGCAAGCGCCCGCCCAACGCGCCGGACGGGTCGACGTCCCATCTGACTTGAGCGTGCACACCCCTCAGCGCCAGATGCGCCTGCCACTTCAGACACTCCACGTCCGCGCTCAGAAAGTCAGGCTTTGTGTCGGGTGTGGTCGATAAGGGCGGGATTATCCAGAGCGTGGGGGCGGTGACGGGTCGTTTGTGCGGGACGGAGGCGGGTGGGTAGGTTACGAGTGGGAAGGGCGAGATTAGTTTGTGGAAGAGCGTGGGGAGGGAGGGGAGCGTGTAGCCTGAGCCCGCTACTGGGGAGGCGGTCGTCGTCATGGTTGTTTGTGGAGAGCGCGTCGCTGGGAGAGAAGGTCGTGGAGGCGCGGTGGATCAACATGCGTACACATGCTTCGACGCGTCGCGACGCGCTCTTCCCGCGCCTTGAGCTCGAACCACCATCACAAGCTGGAGATGTCGTCCGTTTTGCCCAGCCTTTCCTTGGTTCCGCGCAACCATAAAGGACCAAATGAGAGTTTGTGAAGCGCATGCAGGACCGAATGTAACGTGCTTGTAACCTGTCAATGGCAGTTGTGGCACCGGTCCTCGAGATCCGAAGTTTGGTCCTTTGTGCCCCCTGTCGGTCACCCACAATGCCACCAGTCCCCTTGCGTCTTTGTCCAGTTCTTGTAGCCTGTTTGAGTATAAGACTTATATAGCCAGCCTTCTTAGGTTCTTGCTCTTGCCGCCCACGTTCTCCCCGCTCATCTGCTAGTCTCGTCTCCGCTGCTCAACAACCGTCCATCTCGATCCGGTATCGAGATTGCAGCCATCTACGTCTTCCTCACTCACATATGCAAAACACCATGTACTCTCCGCGCTCCATCCTCGGCTCCTCCCGCTCTCCCAACATCGCCTCGCCTGCGAGCCAGGTCTGGCCTTACACTAACACATACTCAGCTCTCAACCCCATAACCAAGCCCACTTTTATTAACACTAATAACCACTACACACGTAAGCTCTACCATTCAAATCTTCTGATCGTCGCCAATCTCACGTGCAAACCACAGCGCGCGGTAAAGAAAATCGCCCAGCCATACCCCATCAAACCACCACTCCCAAACCAACCACCGCTCCCACACAGGGCGTCCAGAGTCTATATAACCCACTCCTAGACTACGACTCGGACAACAGCGTCTCAAACTACCCTCCTCGTGTCCACGCAATGTCTACTATGAACTACGATCAACGCGTACAACAGGAGATGTCGAGGCATGAATGCTTGCTCGTTCGCATTGGGCGCATCCGGCCTCCGCCGCTGCCTCGCGTTACTACGCCGAAGCCCGCTTTGCAGTACCAGTACCAGTATCCGTCTCAGCCTCAGTACTCGCCTCAGCCTCAGTACCCGCCTCAGCCTCAGTACCCACCTCAGTACTCTTCTCAGTACGCTCAAGGTGGCTGGCCTACATCATACACGCCCGGCGCACCGCTCCCAGTGCCGGCATCTGCGTCCTCATGGGCTCATACCCCGCCTCAGCCGGCGCCACCGACATACCTCCCCTTCCCCGTCCCCATCGGCTACTTCCACGCCAACAACATCAACACCATCCAACCCACCCACCACATCAACGCCATCCAACCCACCCCCACCACCACGCACACCACCGACCAAGCCTCCTGGATCCGCACAATGGACGAACTCGACAAACAGCACCTCCGAGACGTCTCCTCCGACTACAGGTACTGGCGCGCCGAGCAGTTCCAGGCGCGCGCGGTGGTGGCGTATGAGGAGAAGAGGATGAAGAGGGAGAGGGAGGAGGCGCATAGGGAGGAGCTGAGGAGGATATTCAATGGGGAGCTGCCGGGCGCACTGGTCAAGCCTAAGAAGGAGTCTAGGGAGGAGCCGGCTCATCAGCGCGCTGCTGAGGGGCAGACGATGGAGGGGCTTTCTCCAAATGAACCCGGCGCGGGGTATGAGCGCGAGCTGGTGCAGGTGTATATGATCCCGACGCCCGCGGAGAAGTACTCGTATGTGTCCCGAGGCCCGTCCCCGACGCCGCGATATTCTTCCTCTTCGTCGTCGTCCGATGCCGAGGGAACGCTCGCCAACACATCCCTGCCGTACTCCGACATCAGCGCCTCGCCGACCATCAACACCCCTCCCTCACCAAAGGTCTTCCCACCAGTTAAACGCCTCTTGGACACCACCAACAATTCGCCCAACGATACCTTCCCGTCCATCTACCCCTCCCTTGACATATTCACCGCCCCCTCGGTTTACGAATCGCGCCGCGAGGAATTCAGGAAGCACATGATCGAGCTGTTCGCTGCGCGTACGCGCCAGGTTGGGCCGACGTGCGACGATGTGGATCGGGCGGAGTATAGCGATGAGGGGTGCGAGACGGAGAGCGACGAGGAAGGTTGTGGTGGAGGGAAGGGGTGGGCGGACGATGAGCTTACGGAGGACGATGTCAGTTTTGAAGGAGGCTTTGTTGACTGCGATTGACTTCTTGTGCACCGACGTGGGGAATTAGAGGTGTGGTATTGTTGTACAGATATAGTATACATTCATACTCGTCAATCCAAATGTCCTTCGTCCCTCTCAATGTACATTACGAGCGATCCTCCGAATCAAACCATGCGTACATTCTCCCGCGCATGCTGGTCCCTCTCCGGCACAGCGTCCCGATCCGCCTCAACAGTGCTACTCCGCTCCTGATCGAACTTATCCTGCGCCGCGGCAGGCTGGTCTCTCCCGCCATCAACATTACTCGGCTTGCTCGGCGTAGGCGCATCACCGCTCTGCGCGCCCTCATCAGGGAACAGATCCTTATCCGCCTCCTCGCGCTCCTTCCGCGCGAGCTGGCCCGTGCGCATATCGTGCCCGTGCTGGACGAGGGACGGGTCGTGCTTGACTTTGCCTATCACCTCCTCTTTCAGGCCGGAGACTTTCGTGCCGGTGGACTGTTCGCCGAAGTCAGTCTACATATAGGAGCGCGTCGTCGTGAGCGAAGGTCGTGTCGGCGCGCGCGGTGGATCAACACGCGTACACGTGCTTCGACGCGTCGCGACGCGCTGTTCCCGCGCCTTGAGCTCGAACCACCATCACAAGCTGGAGATGCCGTCCGTTACGCCTAGCCTTTCCTTGGTACCGCGCTCGCTACCATAAAAGACTGAATGCGAGTTTGTGAAGCGCACGCAGGAATGAATGTAACGTGATTGTAGCCTGCAGTTGTGGCACCGGCCCTCGAGATCCGAACGTTGAGCCTCTGTGCCCGCTGCCCGTTACCCACAATGTCACCGGTCGCCTGTGTCTTTGTTTAGCTCTTGTAGCCTTTCGGTGTATGCGATATAGACTGCCATCTGTGCAGAGCACTTGCACTTGCCGCCCACGTTCTCCCCGCTCATCCTCTACTCATCTCACGTCTGCTGTCATCTCCGCTACTGAACAACCGTCCATCTCGATCCGGTATCAAGGTTACACATAGCTGATCTGCGTCTCTCTCACACTTAAGACACTATGTACTCTTCACGCTCTATTCTCGGCTCCTCTCGCTCTCCCAACATCGCCACGCCTGCCAGCCAGGTCCGGCCCTACGCAAACGCATACACAGCGCATAACCAAGCCAATCCTTCCTAACACCAACAACCACTACGCACGTAAGCTCTATTTTGAACTCTGCTTCTCTACGCCAAGCTCACGTGCCAACCACAGCGGGCGGCAAAGAAAATCGCCCAGCCATACCCCATCAAACCACCACTCACAAGCAAACCACCTCTCCCACACAGCGCGTCCCGAGCCTATATAACCCACTCCTGGACTACGACTCCGATAACAGCGTCTCTGACTCCCCTCGCACTCGTACACACGCAATGTCTACTATGAACTACGATCAACGCGTGCAACAGGAGATGGCGAGGCATGAGTGTATGCTCGTTCGCATTGGGCGCATCCGGCGTCCGCTGCCGCGGCGCGTTACTACGCCGAAGCCCGCTTTGCAGTACCAGTACCAGTATACGCCTCAGCCTCAGCCTCAGTATCCGTCTCAGCCTCAGTACCCTCCTCAGCCTCAGTACCCACCTCAGTACTCTTCTCAATACGCTGAACGTGGTTGGCCTACGTCTTACACACCCGGCGCGCCGCTTCCTGTACCGGCACCAGCGCCTTCATGGGCCCATACCCCACCGCCGCCGGGGCCACCAACGTACCTCCCCTTCCCCGTCCCCATCGGCTACTTCCACGCCAACAACATCAACACCATCCAACCCGTCCAACCCACATACCCCACGACCACCACCGACCAAGCCTCCTGGATCCGCACGATGGACGAACTCGACAACCAGCACCTCCGAGACGTCTCCTCCGACTACCGGTCCTGGCGCGCTGAGCAGTTCCGGGCGCGCTTCCTTGCGATGGAGCAAGAGAGGAGGATGAAGAGGGAGAGGGAGGAGGCGCATAGGGAGGAGCTGAGGGCTATTTTAGGGGGGGTGTTGCCGGGCGCTTTGATCAAGAAGAAGGACGAGGAGCAGGAGGGGGAGGGGGAGGGGGAGG